AGCAAGGAGAGAGGCTAGCTTTGAACATATTCCATTTGAGGAATTTAAGATCATCCAGCTAGAATATTAGAAATATTAGGATGGGATGTGGAAGAGAAATTAGCACTGAAAATAAAGAGCTCAAATCATCAGTGTATGAATAGTAGCTAAACCTCTGAAAACAAGTGAACTTGTCCCATGAAAATGTGTAGCAGGGGAGAAGCAGAGGTTCAAGGACAGCGCCCCCGAGAATGCCAGCATTTAAAGGGTGGACCCTTGGTGGCTCACGCATGTAATCTCAGCACTTTGGGAGGCTGAGGTGGGCGGATCACGTGAGGTCAGGAGTTTGAGACCAGCTTGGCCAACATGGTGAAACCCTGTCTCTACTAAAAATACAAAAATCAGCCAGGCATGGTGGTGGGTGCCTGTAATCCCAGCTACTTGGGAGGCACAAGAATCACTTGAACCTGCAAGGCAGAGGTTCCAGTGGGATCGTGCCACTTCATTCCAGCCTGGGTGACAGAGGGAGACTCCCTCTCAGAAAAAAAAAAAGAAAGAAAAAGAAAAAGGGTGGGCCCCAGCAGCACAGCCTACTGTCCGGGAGTCAGGAGGAAAACCTGGAGGGAATCTTGACCTTGACTTAGAAGCCAAGGAGGAGTCATGGCCAACAGCATCAAAGGCCTCCAAGCACAGTGGAGACTGACAAGAGACCTTTCTTAGGTTTGGCAATTAGAAGGTCCCTGGCCTCAGCAAGAGCAATTTCAGAATAAAAACAAGGGTGGAAGGACTGGTGTAGGGGTCGGGGGATAGAGTAGAAAGTGAGGGTGTAGTACAGGTGAAGAAGTTTGATCACTGGAGGGAATGAGGGAGATGCGGGGGTAGCTTGAAGAGCAGAGAGAGGTTTGTTTGTTTGTTTGTTTTAGGAAGAAGGAAGCTTGGGCATGTTTATAAGTCAGAGAATAGAGAAGAAGAGGTGGGAGACACAGGGCAAAGAGGAGTCGGTTGGAGACTATTCTGTGAAGGTGAGGTGGATCTGGTGTCTAGGTGGAAGGATTTGGGGCGAAGAGGGAAGGTAGGAGAGTCTAGAGGTAGGCAGCAGGCAGACGGGGGCTCCAGGTTTTCCCTACAGAACTGAGGACAGTGATGGCCAGGCATGGTGGCTCACGCCTGTAATCCCAGCACTTTGCGATGCCAAGGTGGGTGCATCGCTTGAGGCCAGGAGTTCAAGACAAGCCTGGGCAACATGAGAAACCCCATCTCTACTGAAAATACAAAAATTAGCCGGGCGTGGTGACACATGCCTGTAGTCCCAGCTACTCAGGAGGTTGAGGCACAAGAATCACTTGAACCTGGGAGGCGGAGGTTGCCATGAGCTGATGGCACCACTGTACTCCAGCCTGGGTGACAGAGCAAGACTCTGGAAAAAAAAAACAAAAAAACTGAGGACAGTAAGAATAAGTGATCGCTTGTGATCACAGACCCAGCAAGTACACCACGAGCTTCTGCCCCTCTGGTCTTCCCAGACCCCTTCCCTAGAACATTAAGCCGTATCACTTTTATGGGTCCAGGGTCTCTGAGGGGCTGGGCACCACACTGTGCCCCTGGGGGCATATCTAGTTCTGCCCCTCTTGGTTTGGCGGGTACCTGCTGGGTACTCACTGTATGTTAGGCCATGAATGCTGGGCAGCAGGAGGCATGGTTTCTGCCTCCACTGGGCCTTATTTCTTCACCTTGTCCCCCAGTTCTGCCCTTGGGCAAGTTCTGTGGCAGAACTGACCAGCTCCCTTCGGCCGGGGACATCTTGGTTCCTGGCAGAGCACCACGAAGAGCAGATTGTCTTCCTACCCAGGGGCACCTTTGCCCAGCAGGTCGGGTGAGCTGGCCTCCTGGTGAGAAGCTGGTGCCCTTGGACATGAGTGGATTTGATGCCTGCTTTCCCACCCAGATACTCTACTGTGGCTTTTCTCCAGCCCTTTATGCTCAGAGCTAGACCAGCAATGTGGGGTGGCTGCTGGGAGAAGGCGCCATGTTGTTTTGAGGCAGCAGCCAGCCCCGGAAGCCCTGGAATGCCTGGGGCCACTGAGCAATCCTCTCGCTTGGCCCCACAAGGGGAGGGGGTGGGCTCGTGAAATCCCTCGTTGGGTATAGCAGAGCAAGCCCTAAGACTCGCCCAGTCTGCTTAGCGCAACACTGACGCTGTTTTGGAATGAAGACAAGACAATGTAGAACTTTACTGGGGAAGAGGTCGAAGAAGGGCTAATTGTCTTGTTGTTCAGGTCTGGTTAGGGCTGCTCACCTCTGACGCCAAAGGTCTTTTCCCTGGAGGACAGCCCTGGAGGATGTCTGAGTATTTGTCTTTCGCAAAAGGTGAAATGAGTAGTGTTTCCCCACCCAGGCTGCATTTTAGAATCAGGGGAGGTGGGTCACTGGTTTGTTTCACTATTCACTATTCATACTTGGGCCCCACCCCTAACCAATTAAATAAACATCGTGGAGAGTGGGGCCTAGTAAATGTTGAAGCTCCTCAGGTCATTGCATTGTGCAGCCAATGCTGTGACTTATGAATAGAAAGGAAGATGAAATGCACACTGGTCATGCAAGGGAGATGTAGAGAGGGAGCAGGGAGGGTGAGAGAGGCTGCAGTTCATAATGTCCTGAAATGTTAGAGCTGGAGGGATCCCGGTTCGGAGCACTGCAACTCAAAGAGGAGTTCCAGCCACACAGCAGGCCCCACTAGGGAGCTGGTTAGAATGCAAATCCCCGCCTGCCCTGTACCCCCATCTGGCACCCTCTGAGTCACAATGTGCGCATCAAGGTTTGAGAAGTGTGCTTTCAGATCACCCACAGATCATCCAGACCAGTGGCTCTCAACCTTGGCTGCGCTTTAGAATCACCCAGGGGGCTTCAGCGAATTCCAGTGCTGGGCTACATGAATTAACTCAGAATTTCTAGGTGTTAGGACCCAGATACTCATTTAAAAAAAAAAAAATGTTTTTTAAGTATTTCAGGTGAGTCTCCTCTTCAGCCATAATCAAGAACATGAGGCTTGACCAGTGCTTCTCAAACTCGGACAGATACATGAATCGCCAGGCTATCGTGTTCAAATGCACATTCTGATTTTATAGGTCTGGAAGGGGGCCAAAGAATCCACTTGTCTAAGAATGGCTCTGGGATGCCCATGGGACGGATCTGGCCTTTTTTGAGCAGTGGGAATAGGCTGACTTCTCAGTTTGACAGCAAGGAGACTGCAGGTCAGAGAGGGAAGTGTGATCGTCCACGGTAACCAGTACTACACATTCAGTACTTTCTGATGTACTCTACTGTGTGCCAGGCAGCGTGCTACATGTGGGACTAGAGCTGCGAACGGGACAGACCCCATTCCAACCCCCCCAAAGCTTATATCTCAGTTGGGGAGATGACAGAAAGCAAATAAGTAACTAAGCTGATGACAGATGGGAAATGCCATGAAGGCGAGGAGGGCCGTGTGTAGGGAATGACTCAGAGACTGCTGTGGGGTGAGGGGTAGGGAAGGCATGCCCCTTTCAGAAGAGCTGTCTGGGGAGTTACTAGGACAACACCTTTAACTGGGAACTTGTGCTGATTACAAACCGATCACTTTTCTTTACTGGACAGGGCCAGGCTTCATCCCCTCTGGGGTTTGGGGATGGTGCTTCTGACTCTCCCAAGGGAGTCTGACCCTGGTCCCTGCCTGCTTGTTTCCTCTGACTCAAGACTCTGATTCTTCAGTGTTTGTGGGCTCAGAGCGGGGCCTGGGAATGAGTCTGCTGGGGAGCAGGACATTGACTTCATCACAAGCCAGGGCTGAGGGTCATTGGTTAATGGTGTGTACAATGGACCAGACCTCATCCAGATGCTATCCCCAGCCCCTATGAAAACATGGAAGGTTTCCATTGGTGCACAAACACTAGTGTTTGCCTCCCTTTCCTGATCGACCGTCAGATTCACATGGGCTCTTTGTGAAAATGCCCGTCCCAGGCCATACTCAGGCTGACCACGGTGGTCTCCAGGGAACGGACCTGAAATGTGTTTTTAGGAAGTGGTCCAAGTGACTCTTCCGATCCAGATCATCAGGAAGCATGGCGTGGATGGAAGAAACTGGCACCTGGCATCTGGTGCCTCTTTGTGTGGCTGTGGAAGCCACAGAAATTTCTTCTGCAGTCAGTCTGCGGCGTGGCCCTGGCTGAGCTGGTGGTGCTTGTGAGGAAGCCTTTGCTTGTGTGATGGGGGAACAGCAGCTCACCCCTTCCCGTGCACAGTCCTCACCTTACTGTCTTCGCCCTTACTGGAAGCATCTCCTGACTCCTCTTTGGCCGGCCAGACCCTCCCAGCTCCCTGTGCTCCCCATTCAAACACCTTCCCTCCCTGAGCTTACCCCATGGCCGGGTGGGGAGGTGTGAGCACTGTTTGCATTTGGTCAGAGTCTAGAAGGGATCAAGGAGCCCTCATGAGGACCATGTCATAGCCCCACCCTCACTCCCAGCCTCTGGCCTGAGCAGACCTGTTTGGCTGGATTGATGATGGAGAGGCAGGCACTGACCAAGGGACGCCTTGGATGGTGGAGAATAGGTGACCCTCTGTTGGGCAAAATAGGACTCAAGCCCTCACACAGTGAGTTGGCTTGACTTTCGTGTCAACAGTGGGCGGGGGTAGCTGTCTGCCTCCTGGAGCTGGCCCTTCCTGGGTCAAAATGCAGAAGGGGACGGTGAGAAGAACCACACATAGAGGCTGCAGTAGGCCAGCCTGGCTTGGGACCAAGTCTGTGAGGGCTGGACCCTCGGTTTTCCCTTCCATGGCAGGACTCACCTGGATCCCTGATGCCACCCTTGGAGGCGTTAGGAGGAATCCTGGATGAGAAAGGTCACCCTCAGGATGACTGCCCCGGGGAACGGCTTCCTGCTTTCTGGAGGAAGGGAGGGGCGGACAGTGGGTGTGTCCTGCTCCGGTGTCTAGGCAGGAGAGTTTGTAAAGCTGACCAGACACCTGTGACTCCTATTTCCTAGGTGGCCCGAGGCAGCCGGGATGACAGCTCTCCCCAGGAATCCTGCTGCCTGCTGAGAAACATGGTCAGCAAGTCCCGTGAGTGTCGTCCGAGGGCTCCCCCACCCTGGAGGACGGGCCACCAGAAGCCGTCTTCAGCAGGATCCTGGGACCTCTGGGGGCTGTGGAGGGACAGACAGGGAGCCAGGAGCCCTTCTCTTCATCTTGAAGGACACTGGGTACAATCAGCGTCAAGCCCTCAGCCAGGGCCAGGAGAGGACCAGAGACTGCTCCTGTTGAGTTAGGGGTCAGAGGGGCTCAGAAGGGGGCAGGTGGGAAGGTGGACAGGGGCTGTACCTGCCTGTTTCGGCCTCTAGCTCCTCTGTGCATGTGTCCTGCAGGCTGGAAGCTCCTGGCCATGTTGGCTCTGGTCCTGGTCGTCATGGTGTTGTATTCCATCTCCCGGGAAGACAGGTACATCGAGCTGTGAGTTCACCTTCCATGTCGTTCCACTGGTTCTTGTCAGGGACGGGGCTTAGGGATGGAGCATCATGGAGCGGGGGACCTAGGGGGCAGGAACGTTTCAAAAGCCGGCGCATGACCTCATCCCTTCAGCTACTGGTACGGAGTGTTTCCGTGAGGGTGGATGGGGGTAGGGCCTGGGATGTCTCACTGGACCCTCACCCAGGGAGTACAGCGGCAGGAAGACCTGGATCAGTGGAACTTAACTTGAGATGATTCCTGCTTGGCACCCTGGGACCTTCACGCCATGGGAGAAGGCTTAGGCTGCCTGGAACATGGGCCCCTGGGTCTGACTGGGGCTCCTGCCTCCTGTCCTTTTTTCTCTCCAGTTTTTATTTTCCCATCCCAGAGAAGAAGGAGCCGTGCCTCCAGGGTGAGGCAGAGAGGAAGGCCTCTAAGCTCTTTGGCAAGTAAGTACTTGAGGATGAGGAGGGTAGAGCAGGGCATGGAGCGAGCTGGGATTGAGGGCAGCCTCAGTGTGAGGAGTAGATGGAAGGAGCAGCCTTGGTGGTGGACATGGGTTAGGTGAAGCCAGGGAGGGAAGTGAGGGCCTTATAATATTAGTCATGGGCCTAACCCTGCTTCTGGCATCAAGATTAATTCTGTTCTCATCCCCACCCGGCTTTCACCTCTGTGCAGCTACTCCCGGGATCAGCCCATCTTCCTGCAGCTTAAGGATTATTTCTGGGTCAAGACGCCATCTGCTTACGAGCTGCCCTATGGGACCAAGGGGAGTGGTAAGTTCCCACCCAGCTCTGTGGGAACCATGGGCTCACCGTGACCAGAGTGCTGCTGCTTCTCTGCTGTCCCTGGCCCCAGTGCCCAAGTTCTGAGCCCGGCTCCAGCACCACGGTCAGGGGAAGAAGGGCTCTGAGGAGCAGTGGAGGGAGGGCAGGCAGCCTTCAGAATGCTAGCTGTCGCATCAGTCCCTCCGCCTGGCTCTTTTTGTAGAGGACCTGCTCCTCCGGGTGCTAGCCATCACCAGTTCCTCTATCCCCGAGAACATCCAGAGGTAAGGCGGCACTCCCCCGACTCCAGTCTGGGCACCTTCTCGTCTTTCCTGGCCCTGTGTGAAACAGTCATGGCCTGGCCCAGGGGTGTAAAGTCAGCATGACCGTAAGCAGGACCATGGGGTGATGCCTGCCCCATGGGGACCAGGGGCTGAGGGGGCCTAGGAAGTGGTCCTGAGACGGGCGCAGGCAGATCCAGGGCAGCGAGCGTGGGGTAGAGCAGGGGTGACTTCTGGGCTTGACCACTCCTCTTCCTGTGGCAGCCTCAGGTGCCGCCGCTGCGTGGTCGTGGGGAACGGACACCGACTGCGGAACAGCTCACTGGGAGATGCCATCAACAAGTATGATGTGGTCATCAGGTGTGTGTGTGGGGACTTCCTACTGCTGTTTGGGAACTGGATATCCAAGCCAGGGACTGTACACAGACCCAGGAGGCCTCTAGTGATGGGAATCCTCCCCCCAACCCCCAGATTGAACAATGCCCCAGTGGCTGGCTATGAGGGTGACGTGGGCTCCAAGACCACCATGCGTCTCTTCTACCCTGAATCTGCCCACTTCGACCCCAAAGTAGAAAACAACCCAGACACACTCCTCGTCCTGGTGGCTTTCAAGGCAATGGACTTCCACTGGATTGAGACCATCCTGAGTGATAAGAAGCGGGTAAGCTGGGGGACAGACTGGGGGCTGAGGCCTGGGGGTGGGGACACTGCCCGAGTCAGGACCTCACGCTCCTTGATGTCGGCCTGGCAGTCCTAAAGAGCCTGTGCGGGGATAGCAAGAACTAGGCTCCCCACAGTCAGCGCCTTAGGCTGCCCTCCAATGGTGGTGTTCGGGTAAGCCGCCCCAGCAACTGGGTATAAAAGCCTGCAGGCGTCAGGTGGCAACAGCCAAAGGCACCCATGCTCCAGGGCTGTCTGCGACAGGAACGCTTTCTGAGTAGGTGTTTGCCTGTGAGGAACTCGGGAGCCGAGGAACCCTCCAGCAGCCATCTCTAGGCCGAGGGTGGGTTAGAGCAATGAGGCGTGTGTCCTAACAGACGGTCCCCAGAAAGAGTTCACTACATCACTTTGCCATCGGTCACAGGCTGAACTGTCCCATCTGGCTTTTTTGTCAAGTGTTTAGACAGCCTAAAACTTTTAGTTCCTTCTACCTGTGTGGATGGTCTTGGAAGTGGTCCATGGCTTCGACCCTCTGCTTTATACACCTGGTCACCTGGCCTCCCGAGGGGGCGCCTCTCTTTCCCTGGTCCTCTCCTGGTCTCCCATCTCTGGCACAGACTTCACCTCCCTTTCCTGTCACCTTGTGTTCCTGAAGGCCTCTGCCATCACTTGGCGCCCCTCGTCTGGCTGAGGACCACTGGGTTGGATTTGAGAAACAGGGCTTCACCTGCTGCTGTCTCTCTTCTGACCCCACCCTCCTAGGTGCGAAAGGGTTTCTGGAAACAGCCTCCCCTCATCTGGGACGTCAACCCTAAACAGATTCGGATTCTCAACCCCTTCTTCATGGAGATTGCAGCTGACAAACTGCTGAGCCTGCCAATGCAGCAGCCACAGAAGATTAAGCAGGTGATGATGGGAAGTCGGGTCCGAAGGCTAGGGTCCTGGGTGGGATGTAGGAGGGACGTTCCTGTGGGCTTAGGAAGCCGTGGAAGGACCCATAACAGAGGCAGTGGTTTGCATTTTCCCTCCAGGAACACACCTGTCATTAAAGTTGCTGCCGCAAAGGGGAGTCCACACTCTGGAGAACTAAGGGGCGTTTACTGAGTGGGGAGGGATGGGGACGGCCTGGATGTGGTTTAGGGGCTGGTATGAGAGGATGATTTTGGCAGGCGCCGGTCAGAATTTGTCAACTGGGGAGTTGCTGGAACAATCAGTGGTCTGATCTGTGGAACAACTTGAGCCATGCGGTTACTATGAGATATGCTTCATCTGTGATCTGATCTTGAAACCCTGGTCTGAACGAGTTCTAAGAGTTGGAGTTTCAACAGTTTGTCTTGCATGTCATGGTTTGGGATGGTGTGTCAATTCAGGGAGTCAATGCAGTTTTGCAAGTTATGGGTTTTTGTTTTGTTTTAGAGATAGGGTCTCACTCTGTCACCCAGGATGGGGTACAGTGGTACAATCATAGCCCACTGTAACCTCGAACTTCCAGGCTCAGGTGATCCTTCTGCCTCAGCCTCCTGAGTAGCTGTGAGACTACAGGTATGCACCATCACGCCTGGCTAATTTTTAAATTTTTTTGTAGAGATGGGGGTCTCACTGTGTGGCCCAGGCTGGTCCCAAACTCCTGGCCTCAAGTGATCCTCGTGTCTCAGCCTCCCAAAATGCTGGGATTACAGGTGTAAGGCACTGTGTCCGACCACAAGTTATGTGTTTCTTCTTTTTAACCTGATGTCCTTGAGCCATAGCAAGTTATGGTTTTGAGTGCAGTGCCCTGGTAGTCTTCAGCTGGTGGGCTCTAACCCACTTTGTAGCTTCCCAAGTACTTCCACCCATATCTTGGAGCCCCTTGGGGAGGCCGTGTGGGATGGTGAGAGACAGGTACCAGCAGACACAGGTATGGCGCTTGGCTGTGCTGTGTACTGTGTGGGGCTTGGCAGGTCAACTGCTCAGAGCCTTGTTTTTCTTGCCTGTATGGTGGGATAATATCCATAATGACCTTTTAAGGCCTGTTGTAGGATTTTAAAAAATAATAATGATGTAAAATACCTATTCTGGAGACCGATACACAGGGCCTGCTCTTTAAATATTTGCCAGATTTTGAATAAATGCTTTTATTGTTTACTGAGCATGTCCTGTTATTGCATGTTCGGTGGTGAATAGCTGCTTTTGTGACTGCTCAATGCCAGGCCCCAAGTCTGCATGCTTGGTGAGGAGGTTGTGCTCCTTGCCCTACGGAACCTCAGTCCAACAGAGTAAGAATGCAGCTTGCACTGTGGAGTGATAAAATTCCACAATGGAGAGTTGTTCCCAATGTCGTGGAATCTCAGAGGAGGGACAGACATCTGCTGAGAGATGTCTGGGAGGCTCCCCAGAGGAGGTGATGCTGGAGCTGGGTCTGGAAGGATCAGGCAGAGAGCTGGGGAAAGGCATTTGGCCAGAGCCACATTTGGCCAGAGCAGGCGGCATCTCCAGCACTGAACTGTTCCAGTACAAGTGGCACTGAAGGGCAACAAGGAGGAGTTTCATGCCATGCATAGGATTACAGATGGAGAGGAGGCTGGAGAGGGAGATGAGAGAGGGCCAGGACCTGAACCCAGCTCCTGGCGGTGGAAAGGGAAAAGGAGGAAATGGACTCAACATTGTATTGGTTTTTTTTTTTTTGAGACTGAGTCTCGCTTTGTCTCCCAGGCTGGAGTGCAGTGGTGCCATCTCAGCTCACTGCAGCCTCTACCTCCCAGGTTCAAGCGATTTTCCTGCCTCAGCCTCCCAAGTAGCTGAGATTACAGGCACGCGCCACCACACCTAGCTAATTTTTGTATTTTTAGCAGAGACGGGATTTCGCCATGTTGGCCAGGCTGGTCTCGAACTCCTGACCTCAGGTGACCTACCCGCCTCAACCTCCCAAAATGCTGGGATTACAGGTGTGAGCCACTGCGCCCAGCCTGTGTTAGCTTTCCATTGCTCCTTAACTAATACCACAAGTTTAGCGGCTAAAACAGTACCCACGTACTGGCTCGTAGTCCTGTAGATCAGAACAGCAGGGTTTGGCTGGTTCTCTGTTTAGGCTGTCACAAGGCTGGACTCGGTTTGTCAACCAGACAGTTCTCATCTGGAAGCTTAGGGGAAAATTTTGCTTCCAGGTTCATTCTTGTGGTTGAAATAATTTGGTTCCTGCAATTGTAGAACTGAGGTCCCTATTTCCTTGCCGGCTGTCAGCTGGAGGCTGGGGGCCGTGCCTGGCTCTTAGAGGTGGCCCACATTTCTTGCCATCCAGCCTCCATCTTCAAGCCGGCGATGGCACAGTAGATCCTTTCTGTGCTTCAGATCTCTGACCTTCTCCGCTTCTGGTCTTGACACCCGGATTTAAACGTTCAGGTAATTAGGTCAAGCCCAGCAGGACAGCCTCTCCTCTTATGTTCAACTGTGCCATATAAAGTAACGTCACATAATCGCATCATATTCACGGGCTCCCCACACGTGCCAGGGAGGAGATCACACGAGAGTTAGGGTCACCGGGGTTCTCTTACAATTCTGCCTTATATGTTTTACAAGTGGAATTGAGAGATTTCTGACCAATTCTGGGTTTCTAGCTTGGACAGCATTGGGGATGGTAACATATTTAACTAATAGAGTGGCAGGAAGAGGAGGAATTTGGTGAGTATAAGGAGCCTGTGACCAGGCAGAGCTGGCTAGAAGGCCATGGAAGTGTGTCAGCCCAACTGGATGAGATGACACACTGGTGGTGAAAGCAACAAAGGTGGAAAAAGAAGGCCCAGCCAGGGAGTGGAAGATGAGAAGACAGGAGAGCTCCGAGAGGGAGAAAGCTGGCGTGTCGACAGGCCTGATGAGGTCCAGGAATGGCTCCCAAACGGGTATGGGCAGCTGAAATTGTGTGCAAAGCAGGTTACTGAAGCTGAGGAAGGCGAGGTTGGAGAAGTGAGAATATCAGGCTGCCCATCACTGCGGATGAACTAGGCATGAGCAAGTGAGGTCCTCAGAGCAGCCAGTAAGGTGGATGGGAAAGGTACTGCTGTCCTGCTTTGAAGAAGGAGAGGCCAGGCACGGTGGCTCATGCCTGTAATCCCAGCACTTTGGGAGGCAGAGTGGGCAGATCGCTTGAGCCCGGGAGTTCGAGATCAGCCTGGGCAACATGGTGAAACCCCATCTCTATAAAAAAAAAAAAAAATAGAGCGCCACCCCCATAAAGGGTCGCACAGCTAGTGCATGTCAGAGCCCCCAGGTCTTCTAAATGAGGTCAGGCTCTCCAAGGAGGAGGACAGAACACTTCCTTTCCTTTGAATGAGTTGCTTAACACTTTTGTAAGCCCCGGTTTTCTCATCTGTAAAAGGGGGCTAATAATAATATGTACCTCCAGGTGTTTTTGTGAGACTGGATGAGATAATGTCTTATGGTAGGTAGGTAAAATACTAAACATAGTGTCTGGCGCATAGTGTTTAAAAGGTAACTAATATGATGATGATGGTCATTCTGATTGTTAGTCTTATCTCTAGAGGCCCCAGGCCTCCCCCAGGTGTATGGAGCTGGACCATCCAGAATGGTAGCCACTAGGCACATGTGGCTATTTACTTATTTATATTTGTTTATTTTTAGAGATGGGGGTCTTACTATATTGCCTAGGCTGGAGAACAGCGGCTTTTCACAGGTGCATTCTTAGTGCACGACAGCCCAGGACTCCTGGGCTCAAGCAGTCTTCTGACCTCAGCCCCCTGAGTTGCTGGATCTATAGGCATATGCACCTCTGCACCCAGCACATGTGGCGATTTAAATTTACAATTTAATTAATTAAAAATTAATAAAGTAAATTCAGTTCCTCAGCTGCCCTGGCCCGATTTGCATGCTCATTAGTTGCATGCTCATTAGTTCATGGCTCGTCTTGCTGGACAGCACAGATGGAGAACATTTCCATGACTGCAGAAAGTTCCAGTGCAGAGCGCTGGCAGAGATGATGGAGGGAGGAGCAGGGCTCCCGCTAACGCTGTTTTGCCCCTGTTCCTCAGAAGCCCACCACAGGCCTGTTGGCCATCACGCTGGCCCTCCACCTCTGTGACTTGGTGCACATTGCCGGCTTTGGCTACCCAGATGCCTACAACAAGAAGCAGACCATTCACTACTATGAGCAGATCACGCTCAAGTCCATGGTGGTAAGTGCCTAGCTCGTGAGCACGGTGGGGCAGGGGGCGGATGGGAAGACAGTCAGAGGGACACTGGGTGAGTGGGAGCAGCGCTGAGACCCAGAGGTGGCTCCTGGAGTCAGAACTGGAACCGAAGCATCTGGACTCCCTGGCCAGCATCGTCCATGTTCAGCCACATGGATTTCGTCTTCCTTCCAAGAACCAGCCTGGGAAAGGGAGCTCCCAAGAAGTGTGGGGCCATGGGGAGGGGCAAGGAGACTTTCCTGGGGACAGAGAGGTCCCTGGGAGTCCCTCAGTTTATTTCCTTGGCTGTCTCCACAGGGGTCAGGCCATAATGTCTCCCAAGAGGCCCTGGCCATTAAGCGGATGCTGGAGATGGGAGCTGTCAAGAACCTCACGTCCTTCTGACCTGGGCAAGAGTTGTAGCCTGTCGGTTGCCTACTCTGCTGTCTGGGTGACCCCCGTCCGTGGCTGTGGGGGTGCCTGGTGCCAGTATGACCCACTTGGACTCACCCCCTCTTGGGGAGGGAGTTCTGGGCCTGGCCAGGTCTGAGATGAGGCCATGCCCCTGGCTGCTCTTATGGAGCCGAGATCCAGTCAGGGTGGGGGCGCTGGAGCCGTGGGAGCCCGGCCAGGGCAGGGGGCTCGTTGCTGTGGCACCCCCTCTCTGCCAGCACCAAGAGATTATTTAATGGGCTATTTAATGAAGGGGTAGGAAGGTGCTGCGGGCTGGTCCCATGCATCCAGGAAAGAGGCCAGTAGAGTATTCCGCCCACTTTTTATAAAAATCTACAGTGATGGCCCCACCAACGCCTAGACACAGCACCGGCCTCCCAGGAGGGCAGGGGCATTGGGAATGGGTGGGTGCCCTCCAGAGAGGGGCTGCTGCCTCCCAGCGGGCATGGGAAGGGCACTGGTGTGGGGGTTCCACCGAGAAGGGGACCTCATCTAGAAAAGAGGTTACAAACCTACCATTAAACTATTTTTCCTAAAATGGAAGCAGTTGTGATGTCCTGTGTCCTTTCAGGTGGGGGAAGGCATGGGATGGGGTGTAGCAGTGGGCAGGCTTGTTAGACCAGAGCAGGGCATGATCGCTTGGGAAATAATTACTTATTGAGTCCAGTGTTGGGTGCCTGGTCATGCATTATCACCCTGGCACAGCAGGAGAGCGAGTGGTGCTCACAGCAGCCCTGTCTGCAGACACCCAGCCTGGCACCCTGCATTCTGGGTTACTGCCAGAGGAGGGAGGGGCTGGAGGATGCCAGATGAGAGTGCCAGAGTCTGCTCCCACCTTCCTTCCTCTCTCCCCCACCATTCTTCAGTTACCCAAATCTCATGCTTGGGAGGTACGTGTTTTAAGGACAGGGGTGGGGTCAGACAAAGAAAGCCAAGTTTCCCTTCTCAGATTAAGTGGGAACCAGAAAATGGAGTTTACGGAAGGTCTTGCCAGCAGCCCAGGCTGCCAGGATGGGGTGGGCAGGCCTGGAGGGCAGCGTCGAAGGGATTTGGCAAGGCCTATCAGCCAGTTGCCGGGCCAGGGGATGAAATGGTTTCTTTCCTGGGTCTTTAGAATCATAACAATCCTGCCGTTTGCCTGTCTCTCCCGCCCTCGTTCTCCATCTTCCCAGATCCTGCTTAGCTGCCAACTGGGCTTCCCGCCACCCCACAGCTGTTCCTTTACATCTGGAGCCAGGAGGGAGAGCTGGAGCTCCCCGCTTGGGGAATGGAACTGGCAGCTGTGTTCCTGGCTTTCTCGGAAAGACTTGCAGCCTGGAGGTTTTGAGACAAGCCAGGCTGGGACAGGACAGATAAAGAGGGGCAGCAGTCTGGGAGGAACAGAGGAAGATGACATGGTTCTCCACAGAGTGTTGGAATGGCCTTGAGGACACCCACCTCATCCCCCAGAATGGCCCCAAGGACCCTCCCAGGGAATAGAAGGCCTGCTCTCTCAGTGGCCTGGCCGCTTTGCTCAGGGAGATGGGAGTTCTGAGGGTGAGTAGAGCCCCAGCATCTGCAGCCCCAAGCCCGCTCCCCTCCACACGGGCACCCTTTGTCTTGAAGGCTGTGTCCTGGGGAGGGAGCCTGCAAACAGCAGGGGTTGTGAGTGGGGGGGGGGTCTCAACTCTGCTCACCCCTGATGCATCCCCAGCTGCCGCTCATGCAGAGATGCAAAGGAGTGTCCTTTTCCCCATCCAGGGCCATTGAGAATGGCTGTCTGCATACATGATCCAGCTGGCCTGGACTGAGGCCACTGCCTGTTACTGAACGTGCCTAAACTCAAGCCAGAATCCGGCACACAGGGGTGGGTCAGACCCCTCCAAACTCCACACACGCACACATGTAGACATGGGAGCATTTTACATTCTTGGTGGGTTGTTTGTGATTACGTGTGCAGACAGTCCTTCCTGCTCACATACTGAGAAGACTGCGAATGTGGGGTGTGTGTGCACCCAAATAGGCCATTGTTTGCTTGGGAGGTGGGGATAGCTTTCTCCTGGGTGCCCAACATCCTACGCATATTGAGGCAATACTGGCCAAGGGTCGGAGCTGAGAGTGGAGCTTTGATGTGGGGCTGTTGGATGGGGTTCTTTGGTTTTCTGGGAAAGGGACTTTAAGTCTTCAATTAGCCCAACCAATGCGAATGAACTGCCTGCCAGCCTGCCTGGGATTGATTAAACCATGCCCTGGAAATGAGCAAGGGAAAGAGCACAGTAGGGCACGTGCTTGAGGGCAAGTCAGGAGATCTGGGTTCTCAACCAGCCTCTGTCGCCTTATTCTGTAAGTACGTGGGCCAGTCATTTCTCTGCAACAAAAGGGTGGGTCCAGCTAAGGAGAACCGCTTATCTGGGAATTACCTAGGGAGACCTGGGAATGGAGATTACCGGGTCTCACCCAGGCTGCTGGGGACAGGACCCACGAATCTGGAATTTCATCAAGCACCCAGAAGCACCGCTCTAGGAATCTAGACCCAAGGATCATCGTACGAGCCTCTTGAGTCCACGGTCTGCGTGTCAAGCCTGCGCTAATCCCCGGCGTCCTTAGGCGGCGTTAATTAGGCGCACGCGCAGTTCCCCCCCCCACCCCGGGCGGGCGGGCGGGCGTTGGGCGGGGGAGGGGCTACTGATGCAGATGGCCCCGCCCTGGCGGCGGGCCGTGCAAGCGCTGTCCGCACCGGCGCCGCGTCGACCCTCGCGGCCGTGGGAACCCGCCTGGAATCTCGCAGGGCCGGCCGGGCTTCGTCCAGGTTGCCGGCCTCCTCCCCGGGCTTCTCGGGATGCTGGCCCCGGCGCCCCGGCCGGCCCCTCCCTGGCAAGCGGCTCAAGGCTTGGCGACGGCTCAGGGGAGGCCGGGCGGACTGGGGAGCCGCCCGCCTCCGAACTCTCGCTGGGCCTCCGTCTTACGACCTGCTTTGGGTTCACCGCAGAGGCGGAGGTGAAACCGCCTTAGGCTGCGAGGGAGTGGAAGAGCTCTGCCCCATTGAATTTAGATTCTGAAAGTCCACAGAGGGGAAACTGAGGCCCGGAGAGGAGAAGGGACTCCCCCCTCCATCACCTTGCTGGGCAGGATAAGAGTCAAGGTCTGTACCACAGGAACACGTTTAAATGTTACTCTATGTTCACATCACATGGGGTGCCTTAAGTTTGGACGCTTAAGGTTTTATTTACATTTTCCAAGGACATAAATACATTCCGTTGCTTTCCTCCAGAGGCTGCCTAGCCTACGAAGAGTTTGAGCTTGGAAGCGGTGCACACCAAATAGGGACACGGTTGGACTGTGAGTTCAACTCCCTACTCTGTCGTTTAATTAGCCGAGTAAACCTCTGCTTCTCCATCTGCAGAAGAATGATTATGCATGTCTCTCTCACAATGAGGTTTTAAGGACCTAATGGGAATATGATCATAAAAACATTTTGTAGACTGTAAAGTATGATATCAATATTAATTGGAAAGCTGCCTTGCATCATGGAAAATGCCAGAGGGTATGAAACAGGTTAGGTACATTTGTAGGGCCAAATACTTGTCCAGGAAGTAACATGGCTGGTTACAGAAAAGTCTTTGTCTTCAAATCACCCACAAGCTAGGCAGGGGAAGGTAAGACATCAGTGAAATGACTGCAACACAGGCTTTGCGTAATCAAACCATGAACATTGTTTAAACTGCTTTCTATTGGTGGTTTTCTTTTTTTCTTTTTCTTTTTTCTTTTTTTTTTTGAGACAGGGTTTCACTCCTGTCACCCAGGCTAGAGTGCAATGGCACGATCTCAGCTCACTGCAACCTCCACCCCCCAGGTTCAATGGATTCTCCTGCCTCAGCCTCCCGAGTAGCTGGGATTACAGGCACCCAGCTAATTTTTGTATTTTTAGTAGAGATGGCGTTTCATCATGTTGACCAGGCTGGTCTCAAACTCCTGACCTCAGGTGATCCACCCACCCTCAGCTTCCCAAAGTGTTGGGATTATGGGCATGAGCCACCGCGCTCGGCTGTCAGCGGTTTTCAAGTTGAAGTCGGACACCTTTAGGGATTCTTGGGGAAAGAGTTTTCTTGGGAGACACTATCCATTTCGATGGTACCTAGCATGCCACAGTAGATCCCTAAACAAAGGTTGAGAAGTGTAACCTGAGTTTGTCAGCTCTGTTCTGATCTCTCCAACCTTTTTGAAGTCTTCGTTATAGCTTCAGAAAACTGTTTGTTAGTTTCCAACATTCCCATGATTCTGTACCAGATGTGGTTCCAAGAAATCAGACCTTTCTGACCTATAAGTTTAAGGAGGGTATGCAGGTGGTGTGGGTGTGGGTGTGTGTCTGTCTGTCTGTAGTTATAGCCAGTTTTCCTGTCCAGTTCATTCTCATTGAGTTTATCTCTCTTGTTAGAGATTTTTGGGATCCTGCACCCAATAAATAAGAAGAGGAGATGAGCCTTGAGTCTCATTAGATGACAGATTTTTGAGAAGCTCAAATGTATGGGAAGGTTCCACTTCTTCACTTCAAGGGACTGCAGATGGTGTGAAGCAGGTGGGAGAGACCACAGTGCAAAGAGGGTTATTACAACAGGGCTTGGCAAAAATTTTTTAGGGAAAAATGAACTTCGGGAGGCAGGTGCTGTTTTTTGCCCCATTTCGGGTTCCCAGGGAAGGCTAACAATTTAGACCCCCACCACCTGAAAAGAGATACAGCTTCCTCTCAAGAGCCTTGGAAAGCTGGGAGGGTAGAGCTGGGTGGAGAGAATGAGAGCAGTCTCAGATGTTGAAACAACCCTAGGGGTTTGGAGTTGGAATTGCTGAACTGAGTTAGTCCAGAACCATCTATCATTCTGAGTCTTCCCAAAACACTGTTTACACACATCACCAACTTTCACACTTAAGGAGTGTCTCCCCCTGTTTCTCTTCTTACTAAGCATAGAGCTAGTGGAGTCTGGTTGGAGATACCCTTCAGGTCTGTGCTCTTTTTCTCAGTGAATTTATGTTGCACTGATGGAGCCCTTGCGTGGCAGGAGAGCTAGAGAAACTTTTATTTATTTATTTTTATTTTATTTTATTTTTTTGAGACGGAGTCTCACTGTGTCTCCCAGGCTGGAGTGCAGTGACGCGATCTCGGCTCCACCACCAGGGTTCACCCCATTCTCCTGCCTCAGCCTCCCGAGTAGCTGGGAGTACAGGTGCCTGCCACCATGCCTGGCTAATTTTTTGTATTGTTAGTAGAGACGGAGTTTCACCATGGTCTCGATCTCCTGACCTCGTGATCCACCCGCCTCGGTCTCCCAAAGTGTTGGGATTACAGGCATGAGCCACCACACCCGGCCGAGAAACTTTTCATTTATATTAAAAGTCAAATAGGAATCCCTTATCTGAAAATTCTGCTTAAATCCTTATCTATATCACTTTATCTCTACTTGTCTTCTTCTTTTATTCTCTGAAGTGCAATGCCCATTATGTCAGGCCTCTGAGCCCAAGCTAAGCCATCATATCCCCTGTGACCTGCACGTATACATCCAGATGGCCTGAAGCAACTGAAGATCCACAAAAGAACTGAAAATAGCCTTAACTGATGACTTTTCACCACTGTGATTTGTTCCTGCCCCACCCTAACTGATAACAGTATATTCTCTCCGCCCTTAAGAAGGTAATTTGTACGCCTATCCCAAACCTATAAGAACTAATGATAATCCCATCCCCCTTTGCTGACTCTCTTTTCAGACTCAGCCCGACTGTACCCACATGAAATAAACAGCCTTGTTGCTTACACAAAGCCTGTTTGGTAGTCTCTTCAGACGGACGGACGTCACACATTAATGTCTCAAATGTACTTCCTAGTCCTTGGGCAGCAGAGCCTAGCCCTTTAATTTCCTTCCAAAGGTAGTGAAGGTGGTAACTTTTAGTCCACCTGGACTTTGTCTCATTGAAAGTCTCATCTTCAGACTGGGCATGGTAGCTCATGCCTGTAATCACAGCAATTTGGGAGGCCGAGGCGGGTGGATCACCTGAGGTCAGGAGTACGAGACCAGCCTGGCCAACATGGTGAAACCCCCATCTCTACTAAAAATACAAAAAAAATTAACTGGCCATGGTGGTGGGCACCTGTAATCCCAGCTACTTGGCAGGCTAAGGCAGGAGAATCATTTGAACGCGGGGGTGGAGCTTGCAGTGAGATAAGATCACACCACTGCACTTCAGCCTGGGCAATAGGGCGAGACTCCGTCTCAAAAAAAAAAAAGAAAAAAGTGATCTTCAGAGGGATGATTCCCTTCCTATATTCAGCTTTTATCCAGAATAGTACTTTTTCTCTTGCATAATTGGGAATAGATTTCGGATAAGCTCCATTTAATTAAACTCCAGTTCTTTCCAGGAACATCTGGACTTCCTGAGACCTCACTAACCTTCTTTTTGAGCATTAATAGAGCACCATAAAGAAGACAGTTAGAAAGAACCATTTTTTGAATGTTTTCAGCATTCCAAGATATTGCCAAGGGCCGTAAGGTTAAGGAACAGCGGAAGGAAATGCTATTTCTTGTCTGGTACTCTCCAATCAGGGAACTCAAGGAAGCTCTCTACTCAGGGATTGAGGATGTCTCAGCCCCGTGGGTGGGCTGAGTGGACTGTTTCCGAGAAAAGCACTGGGAACACAGAGTGGCAGGCAGATATTGGCAGAGACATAAATATAACCAGGGAGGTAGATGACAATTTGGTGATGTATCTTGTGAATGGTGTATATTCACAGAAGGCCTTTTAAAGATGGAGGCTGTGGGAGTAGGAAAACTTTAGGGCTTGTAGTAATGAAAGCTTTCAGTGTATGTCAAAGAACTTGCTGTTAGTGAGGATGGGAGGAGGGCCAAGGAAGAATGGCAGTTAGAGAGGGAAATAATTAATGGTTTTGCAGCAAACATGGACTTGGCCAGGAAAACAATTCCTTATTTCTAGAAAGAAGAGGAGCGTTTAAAATTTTTAAAATTTTTGTCTGTTTATGACCTGGTTAGGAGCACTGAAACATAAGGAGTCGGGGAAAAGATGGTTGGAGGCTCACTGGAAATGACAGGCGGCTATCAGTGAACGAACTCTTTATCAATGACTCCCAGAGACTGCTGCTAATTTTGATTTGAAAGCTGCAAATCGCTGGTATGTGGTTACAGTTCCTAAGAACAACTTAGATAAGAGGCTTTCAAAAGAGGTTTTGAAAGGGGAAGTGAAATTTAAGATTTAGTTGTCATTGGTCTACATCTAAATGTTTGTTTCTTTAGATATGCACACCAAGGAGCATTTAAAATAAAAAATATTTGCCGCCGGGCGCGGTGGCTCAAGCCTGTAATCCCAGCACTTTGGGAGGCGGAGACGGGCGGATGACGAGGTCAGGAGATCAAGACCATCCTGGCTAACACGGTGAAACCCCATCTCTACTAAAAAATACAAAAAACTAGCCGGGTTTGATGGCGGGCGCCTGTAGTCCCAGCTACACAGGAGGCTGAGGCAGGAGAATGGCGTAAACCCGGGAGGCGGAGCTTGCAGTGAGCTGAGATCCGGCCACTGCACTCCAGCCCGGGCGACAGAGCGAGACTCCATCTCAAAAAAAAAAAAAAAAAAAAAAAAAAAAATTTGCAAATTAAGATAGTCTTTATTTAAATTTTATATTTTTATTTCAGTAACAAGTGTGTTTTATAGGGAAAGATCCCAGAGAATAAACTAATCTCAAGACTCCCTTTTATCTTTTTTTTTTTTCTGGTGCCAGGACAAACCACACACATAATACCTGGGAAGAACTAATCAAATGTGTGTGTGTGTGCGCGCACGCGTGTGTGTACCTTGTGCCTTTGGTTCTGATTCCATAATAGCAAATGCCCCAAGCAGCATGGACTCCTCTCCAACTAGGAATTGAGAAATAGAATTTTGGTCGGCTCCTTTGTCCTGTTCTAAGAAATCTCCCAAGGACTGCACCATGTTTATTTTCATTTCCCTGGCTCCTTTCCATTCTGGAAACTTAAAATCGGCTTCATGGCCTCTTGCTTTATATAATTTGTTCAAAAAGGCTTCGTCAGAAACGGATTTGATGTGACATTTTTGCTCTTCCCGTGAAAGTACTTCCTATTCCATGAAAGTAGAAGAGGTGGTGGAAATAACCCTGGCCTTGGCAGACTGATCTTGAACCTGAGAATTAGAGACTGGGCTCCCATCCAGTGACTCTGAGCCAGTAATGAAGTTTAAAGCTATTGGAAGACTGGATGCTGGCTTTGGTAGAGGTGGGGGTGATTTGATACACAGAATAGCTTTGTTTCCCAGAGCGTTGCGGTCTTTCAGGTCATTTGAGGACTTAGGGTGGAGGAAGCCAGTCTTGCCTTCCTCATGGAGCTATGCTTGTTCTTGCCTGGCCTGCACCAGAGCGCATGGCCTTTACCATCAGCCACTTCCAGCCACATTCTACGATGAGTGTGGCCTGGAGTTTTCACTGTATGGCGGAAACATCTCGTGGCGGAAATCATGTGTGTTTAAATCTCATGTTTGTCACTCGTTAGCGCTTGACCCTGGGCAAGTTTTTTGACTTCTTTAAGCCTCAACCCACATTTGTAAAACGGTGATACTTTGTAGAGTTGTGAGGATTAAATAAGATTACAAATGTAGAGCACTCGTTTTATTTAATGTGAAATCACCTACAGGGGAATTCGGGGATTCCCACTGCCTTTGTTTCTTGGCACCTCCCTTCACCAGCTTTTCTGCCCCCCACTCCTTTGTGAGAAGTAGATAGTGCTGGAGACAGCTGAGGGATGCACCCAGCTCAATCCGGGCTTCTCAGTGCCCCAGAGTCCTCCACATCCCCCTCATTTTTTCCCTCTCTGCTCTTGTCTCTCACAAAGATCATCCTTGCGACCTCCTATCCCTTGGGCTATTCTTCGCTGCATTGGGCCTTGGAGAGCGCTCAGAGGGTTGGGCATCCGGCAGCCTAGTGTTTGCACTTGCCCTGGAGCGCTCTGCTCAGTCCACATTCTTACCCTGGGTGTGCTGAGGGACAGGAAGAAGGGCTCATTTTATAGAACACATTTCTTCCCCATTCTGCTGGTTTATAACTTTGGCTCCCAGGAAAGAATGGAAGGATGGACACCTCCACCCTATTAGTGCGCTCTCGCTCGCTCTCTCTGTCTGTCTCTCTCTCTCCTCCTCTGTGTGCATGTGTGTATAGCAGGAGCAAGGGGCAGGGTCAGCTGTGTTGAGGACTAGGAGGTAGATGGTCTACCCATATCCAAGGTGGGAAGACCAGGAGAAATAAGAGAAGTAAATGGACAGATCCTCTAAAGTCATCTTTTCCTTATTCCAGCACACCAAGGCATAGTGCATATGGTCTTGGATCTTTGTTCTCTGTTAGCCAAGGGAAAACATATATGGAAAGAAAGAAAGAACGCTTGCTGAGATTAACCTAGAGGGGGCAGGGGCCAGCATCCTGATGTCTATGCTAGGCCAGCATGGTACCAGCAGCAGAATGTGGGCTGTGGACGTGCACTTACCATTTCTGATCAGTTTTTACTCCCTCAGGCTTGGGGGCTGCAAAGGAAGCTAGCCAGGTTTCTGGGAAATTTTGAAGCACTTGGAAATATGATTGAAACAGAAAATTCCTCTGAGTGGAGGAGCTATGTAGGCTGTGTATAGAATCTGTGGATTGGGACCATCCAAGGAATCAGTGTCTGGAAAGCAGCACAAGCTGGTGTGGTGAAGGTTCCCATGATGAGTAAGGACTACCAGGGAAGGTTGGAGAAGAAAGGTTTAAAACTGACGAGGAACCTCCAACCCACCTTAGGGACAATTTGGGTTCTTTAAAGTTCCATTTGGATCCCAGTCCCTCAACGAGCACTCGAACTTGCCCCTGTTTATCCATCCCATCTGCCATGACCACATCAAGGCTCTTCTTAGAACATTATTTGAGTTGTATATTAAAGTGTTAGGGTGCCTGGTGGTCTAGACTCTTTCTAGGGGGTCTTGTTCTCTGAACCTTTAGAGGAGGAAATTTTCCCTGCTGAATATTGCTGAGAGGAAAGGTCCGGAATGGCCTGGCCAGTGTCTAGTGTGACCACTCTGCCTCTGAGCTATATTTGACTGAGTCAGGTGGTTGGTGAGTCCCACGCGTCCTCTGGATTGGGTCTACCCGCAAAGGAGAGGACTCAGCCTGTAGATTTTATTGCCACCACAACCAGAGCTGTCAACTGCCTTCAATGTCTAGGAAGATTGAATCAAAGGAGGGCAGAGAACCTTGGGTCCCCAACGCGTTCTATGAGCTCTTGGGTTCTTCCTGTGGTGCTTTGTAGGAACAAAAGAACAGAACAAACATGTTGGAGTACTGTCCCTAACATTTATTCTCAGGTGGTGACTGGGAGGGGTGAGGTGTAGATATACTTCCTCTCTGAAGACAGGAGCGTCGTTCTTGTGTTTATCAGCTGAGAAGGGCAGTCTCGCCATCTTAAAGACCTGCCCTCCAGCCCCTTCAAATGCCACACCTCGCAGGAAGCACTCTCTCCACAACTGTTCAGAGAACCCTGACCAGAGAAGCTCCCGCACTTCTCATATTAACTCCGATTGTGCTGAGGGGGAGGGGAGGAGTACACAAAGCAGGAGGTGGGTGGGGAGGCTGGGGTCACACAGCCCAGGAGGGGCACGCCGGGCCAGGTGCTCCGTAAGCACAGGCTCCCTCCTCCCTCCCTCCCCCCAGTGCACCAGGCTCTGGTGGGGCCGGTCCCACCGCAGAGTTCAGAGGCATCAAGTCCAAGGACAGAACTGCAAGAGTATGGACACGAAACACCAAACAAATTGGGGGTGGGCTCCCGGCCATCCTGGTGAGAGGGAGGCTCCTTTAGCCAAGGCCATTTCTGGCTTCTCAGCCTCCAGGGTATGGGCTATGAGCAGCCGTGGGGAGCCGGGGTTTCTGGGGCGGCTCAGTGCTGGGAAGACCTCATCCCCTTCTCCCCAGGGCTGTATGGGAGCACAGGCACAGGGGCAGGGAGGGCTTGTGGTCAGCGAGGGGTAGAGCCCACGGAGAGTCCAGAGAGTGGACCGCAGTTTCGTGAAAGCAAAGTTCTAGCTGCCACTTGTGCCTGTGGGCAGAGCAGGTGGTAGAGGGGCCTCCAGGAAAGGGCCGGGGACATGGTGTCCAGCACTGAGCACAGCGCACTCGGCCGCGCCCTCTGTCTCCCCACCCGCCCACCTCTGGCACACCGCACCTGGGGACCCAGATTTGTGCTTGATCAGAGCTTCGAAGGAAGGCGGTGGCAGAGGCGCTGGGAGGCTGTCCTGGAGGTGGCCAGTTCTGGGGTCCTCTGCAAAGTACCCCTCGTCCCTGGACAACCGGAACCTGCCCTGCCCTCTTCCCTGGCCCATCCCACCCGCAGTGTGTGATCCTTAGACGTGAGTCTGCATCCGCCGCTGCAGGGGTCGACTGGGGTCAGAGTTCTGGGACGAGGACTGGGAGTGGTGGGAGGAGGAGGCAGAAGCCTTGCTGGCCTTGTCGAACTGCACATAGCCGTCCTGCTTGCCGCTGCTGCTGACGCTGCTGTCACACTGCGTGTCCAGGAAGGAGCTGCTGTCGCTGAGGGAGCCTCTCTGGAACTCCCGCTCACAAAGCTCGATGGACGAGCTGCCCATCCCCAGCACGAACCGCTGCCCGTAGTCGTAGAGGCGGCCCTGGCCGCTCAGGGTGCTATAGATGTTGGTGAAGGACATGCCTGTGGGCACACGCTGCTTGCCCGCAGGACGCAGGTCGGGCTGGCAGCTGGAGAGGGAGATGGTTGGGGTTGAGTGGTGCTCTTTGAAGGTGTTGACGCTGTAGTAGCCATTGGTGGGGTCCTGGGTGGGCGAGAGAAAGAGAAGCATCACCTGGTGGAGCCTCCACTGAACGTGACTGGGGTTTCCAGGCTGAGCCCGTCCTCTTATGCGGGGAGGGAAGAGGGAAAACAGGAGGAAGGGAGTGACCTGGTAGGGAGCAAACTCGGGGGTGAACAGCTGCGGGGAGGGTGCAGGGGCAGAAGGACACTGAGCAGGAGATGGCAGAAGGGGAACTGCGGACCCCAGGAGGGGAGGGCCGGCAAGGGTGAGGGCTGAGGGCCAAAGGAGGGAAGCAGAGGCTCTTGACTGGGTTTATGTCAGGGTGATGCAAGGTCATTTGAAAATCAGACTTTTTAATTGTTTTTATCCAGAACATGGATGCTTCATTTTGAATCTACATGTGAGGAGGCTGTGGAAGAGAACTGGGGAGTCTCAGCATTAGCTCTTTCAGCCTCCTCAGCGTTGGGGTGGGGAGAGCAGGTGCCTTAGGCAGGGACGGGTACCTGCCACCAAGCTGGCCTCTGGCCTTCTCTTCTCGACTTGCTGTCATTTGTTGTATAGATTTGGGGTTTGGGCCATCAGAGCTTAAGACCGGATTCCACGGCTGTGTCTTATAACCTGGGGCCCTTCTTACCTTCAGGTTCTGAAACTCTTTCTCCTCTTCTTTGAGCACCTCCAGCTGTTTCAGGACTGAGTCTTGCTGGAATTCACCCCGGTCCATCTGCAACCCAAAAAAGGCTGCTCAGTGGATCGGAGGTGGCTACACCTCCACTTCCCCCAGGGAAAAGATGAGATCAGAAACTCAAAAGATTGCCCTATATAAGCCCCACAACCCCTCACTGCCTGGACCATGTGGAAGACTCAGGATGAGTTCCTGGACCCCCATCCTAGGAGACAGGGAAGCAGCTGAGGGGGATGGGTAGGTCGGTGAGGTGAGGGGCAGTTAGGGGAGGCAAGGGGCAGGTATCTGAGGCCACACTTTCCTCGCTTGGGCGAGGGCATCACCAGAGATCTCACATGCCTGATTCAATTCCATTCACTGAACGTTTGTTGTAAAATGCCGGCCAGGTGCTCTGCTAAGGATCAGGGATCCACAGATTAACATACATTAAGATACAGCTCTGCTCATCAGGGAGATGGACTTGTAGATAAATAATTTCAGAATATCAACCACTGGGCACGGCCAGGCTCCTTAGGGCAGTTTCTTATCCAGCGTGCAGGCCTAGTGCAGGCCTTAAGGAGTCACAAGGAATAACCATCTGTGAGATGCTGGCGACATGGGCCACACCTGTTATTCTAATGAAAAGTTATCTTCCTTAGAGATGCCAAGCAGCCTGAGGGCAAGGATCACTTCCTGCTTGTCTCTGGGTACCCCCACACCTGGTTCAGTGCTTTGCATGTTGTGGTCACTGACCTTGCATGCTTTTGGGATGGAATCTCTTAATTATTTGATTTGCCAATGCCTAGCACAGTGCCTGATACACAATAGAGCTGCTTCAAATGGTATGTATATGTTGAAGGAATAGGCAAAGTGGCTTAGCTCTAAATTACTAAAAATTAACATAATTATTAGACGTAAGATGAAAAAGCATACTCCACACACAGTGGGCGTATGAATTAATCTGAATAACCACAGTGATGCTTAACCTGCTTGCCATGTGTCTCTCTGCTAGTTGCATGGTATAGGTAGTAGGTTCCCTCCTACTCTCTGGGCTGGGATGTTTCTTCTCTCTTGCAACTTGCTTTCCTCGTTTCTTTTTGGAGCCCCGTGGAATGAGCCAAGGTGCTGCCACCCTGCTGCCTCCTCACTAAGGAGACCATGTGGTTCATTTTTCCAGTAAATGCTCTGGCACTGTCCGGATTGGAGACCTTCTTTCCCATCAGATTCAATTGCTAAGTCTGCCTCTCCTTGCAGATGGGTCTGTCTTGGGGCCAGGAGGTGAAAGGAATGGGAGAATGACGATCTCCTCAAGGGGTGGCTTAGCCCAGAGCCCACAGCAAGTCCCTTCTGCTCCCGCCTGATGCTGAGCGGCCCACACTCTTGCTGTGGGTTTGGACTAAGGGATGTGGAGACAGTCTGAGGCAAACAGAATGTCCCAGTGGGAGAGAATTCAAGGTCCCATTTGGGATGAAGGACACACCTGATTAAGCTTAAGTATAGAGACATCATCCCTTCTGAGGTCTAGGCTGTGGCTTCCTCCCTCATAAAATTAAACACTCCTCTGTGTCAGGCCCTGTGTTAGGCCCCGGGGGAAACAGATGAGCGTAGACTCGAACATGACCTTTGCCCTTGAGGAACTCTGGGATAACTGGGGAAGCTAACATGGAACTGGGGGAATGCACTATAAAGGAGGCACATACAAAGTGTTTTGGGAGAGCAGAAGGTGCACAGCTCTGCCAGGGGCGGGGAGGACAAGCCCGGAACATCTTGGAGTTGATTGTTATAAGAGAATGTGAAATTCAACAGACAAAATTAGCAGGCAGAGGGAACAGCCGGTGCACAGGCCTTTGAAGTCTAAAAGACTTGAAGGCCAGGAATCAAGCTCTCTGGCATGTCTGGAAGGCCAGATGCACTTGGCCGGAAAATGGAGCTGGAGAGGTTGGTGGCTGCCTGGCACTGAGGAGCCCTGATGACACACCAGGAAGTTGGACTCTGTCCAGCAGATGTGGGGATCCGCCGAGGAATTTTAAGTGGGCAAGTAACAGGACCAGATTTGCATTTTAGAAAGACTCCTTTCTCAAGGCTCTCGAGGGTGGATTGAGAAAAGAGACAAAAGACTAGAAGGCTGACACCAACTGGGAGGCTGCTGTAATCATCCAGGGGAGGAAGGATGAGGCCGGAAGTCAAGAAGTGATGGTGGAGGACAGGTGGGGCACACATTTGAGATACTTTTTGAAGTGGAATTGACAGGACCTGAAAATCAATTGGAGAGAGAAAGCGTAGCCAAGGGAAAAGTCAGTTTGACTCAGTAAACGTCTCTACCAGGGTCTGTGTAAGGCTCTGAAGACCCCAGGATTAACACAGCAGCAGCTGCTCACCCTCTAGCAACATAAATAGCTCATATTTGTTGAGCACTCACTGTGTTCCATGGGCTTCAAGCCCTTCTGAGTTTTGCCCACTTCACCCTCACCACAGCCCTGTATACTGTGGCTTTCAGACCCATTTCATGGATGAGGACACTGAGGCACCAAAAAGCCCATCTACTTTATCCCTTGCTTCGCCGCCTCCACTCCAACATGTTACAACCAAGGCAACTAGAAACTTCTAGCACAGGCCGGGCGCGGTGGCTCAAGCCTGTAATCCCAGCACTTTGGGAGGCCAAGACGGGCGGATCACGAGGTCAGGAGATCGAGACCATCCTGGCTAACCCCATGAAACCCCGTCTCTACTAAAAAAATACAAAAAACTAGCCGGGCGAGGTCGCGGGCGCCTGCAGTCCCAGCTACTCGGGAGGCTGAGGCAGGAGAATGGCATAAACCCAGGAGGCAGAGCTTGCAGTGAGCTGAGATCCGGCCACTGCACTCCAGCCTGGGTGACAGAGCGAGACTCTGTCTCAAAAAAAAAAAAATTAAAAATTAAAAAAAAAAAAAAAAAAAGAAACTTCTAGCATGGTTGTCTAGGTTTCTGCCTGGACAACTGGGTAGATGATGGCCCATAAATGGGGATTCGGAAGAGGAGGAGCAGGCTTAATGTGGCTGGAGAAGTGATGAGTTCACTTGCAATCCAGTCCCCAAGGAGGAACCTGTGTTTCGTGCAGACTTCGTTTTGGTGGGGTGTGGCGGATGAGGGAGAGGACTTGTATTGAATATCTATAATAGCTATGTGTGTGTGTGCAGTGGGTTGGGGGGGATTATATGTTATATAACAACATATTGTGGCAATTTATGCATATGTCTTTTCTCCTTACGGAAGAGCCAGGCTCTCTGAAGGCTGGACTGCAACTTTTTCGTTGTTATTGTTTTGAGATGGAGTCTCGCTCTCACCCAGGCTGGGGTGCAATGGCCTGAGCTCAACTCACTGCAACCTCCACCTCCCGGGTTCAAGCAATTCTCCTGCCTCAGTTTCCCTAGTAGCTGGGATTACAGGCGCCTGCCACCACGCCCAGTTAATTTTTGTATTTTTAGTAGAGATGCAGTTTCACCATGTTGGCCAGGCTGGTCTTGAACTCCTACCCTCAAGTGATCCTCCCAACTCGGTCTCCCAAAGTGTTGGGATTACAGGCGTGAGCCACTGCGCCTGGCCTGCACTGCATCTTAGATGCCTTTGAGTCTCCCAGAACACAAGCACAGTATAGCAGGCACACAATCACATTTGTTGGCTGACAGTGTGTGCCTCACCTATTGTGGGGTGGGCGGGGGGCATCTTGACCGCTGCTTTGCTTTTTGGAAGCATCTAGGTCATTGAGAAGCCTCTAGTCCCAGGACCTTCTGGGAATGGGTCACGGGATGGGATGGGGCGTAATCGCATTCTTACCATTAGCTGCTTGATGGTGGAGTGCTCCTCAGCCTCCCGACCAGAGGCCGGTTCCTTGTGGACAATTTCCACTCGGATATCATTTTTGGCTGACACAACACCTTTGAGATCTGGAGATAAAATAGTAAAGTGTAGATGATAGATTTAGTTCTTACTTTTGAGATGTCAAGCTCCCTTGCAGTCCCCTGCCTCCGCTCTGCCACCCTCTGCATTTCCCCTTCAGCCCCTGAACTCGGCAGCTTCACTGACCCGCCACCAACAGAACCTCCATATGGAGATGCTGTGGGCATTTGGGCCTCAGAGGAGGCTGACCCCATGGGCGGCCTGGCTCCTGTCATATGCCCCTCAGCCATGCACCCTTGGCTTGAAAGATTGTCTTCAGCCACTTGTCCACCTTACTGAGCTAGGTCCTTTTCATCCTACTGAATTCTCACTTCTTTCTAGAAGTCTTCTCTGACTTACTCTACCAGGCAGACTCCGATCCCTCCATTCATAGAACCACAAATCTCAGTGTTGGAAAGGACCTTAAATTGCCCATGGCCAACCCCCATCTAAAGAGAAACACCCCTGAGGTGCTGGGCAGCTTCTCTGTGGACGCCTCCATGATGGAAGCTTTACTGCCACTTCTGCAGGAGGCAGCCTGTTTCTAGTTGGAGAACTCTGTTAGAACATTCTTGGCTGGACGCGGTGGCTCACGCCTGTAATCCCAGCACTTTGGGAGGCCAAGGTGGGCAGATCACGAGGTCAGGAGTTTGACACCAGCCTGACCAACATGGTGAAACCCTGTCTCTATTAAAAATCCAAAAATGAGCTGGGCATGGTGGTGGGTACCTGTAATGCCAGCTACTGGGGAGGCTGAGCACGAGAATCACTTGAATGAACCCGGGAGGCGGGGGTTGCAGTAAGCTGAGATTGTGCCACTGCGCTCCAGCCTGGGCAACAGGGCAAGACTCCGTCTCAAAAGAGAAAAAAAAAAAAAAAGGGAAATTCTTGAGGAGCTGGCGCTGTGGCTCATGCCTGTAATCCCAGCACTTTGGGAGGCTGAGGCAGGCAGACCACTTGAGGCCAGGAGTTCGAGACCAGCCTGGGCAACATGGTGAAACCCTGTCTCTGCAAAAAATTTAAAAAATAGCCAGGCATGGTGGCACACGCCTGTAATCCCAGTGACTCAGGAGGCTGAGGCATGAGAATCGCTTGAACCTGGGAGGCAGAGGTTGCAGTGAGCTGAGATCATGTCACTGCACTCCAGCATGGCCAAAAGAGAGAGACTCTCTATAAAAAAAAATCATATGTATATATATGCATATATATGTGTGTGTGTGTATATATGCATATATATGTGTGTATATATATGTGTATGTGTATATATTTATATGCTCCCCTATAATTTCCACTGAGAGGGTGGTGATGGAGGTCCTGAGACCACATTATTGCTGGGGTGGTCATGAGAGCCAAGGCTGCTTAGCTCGGAGTGCAGAAGACACAAGGGGAACAGCTTTCTTCAGACATGTGCAGGCTGCTGAGTGGAGGAGGAGACCATCCTGGTGATTGATTTTGTGCATTACACTCATACAATATTAGTGCCAGATGGGGTCATCAGGGTCGTATCCTCATTATAAATGATTAAGCCAAGGCCTGGAATCGCTGTAGCTGGCCCAGGGTCATGTGGCAGAAAAGGTGGGACTGGAACACTGTGTCTCCATTGTCTTCACCTGTTCTCTGCCATCCAATCTCTCACGCATATCTCCTGGGTGCATGCAATTCTTCAAGCATGCACAAACACTAGAATTTTATTGGTAATCACTGAAGACCTTTACAAGTTTGCTATAAGCAATTCCTTTATTGCTTCCCCACCCACTCCCCCACAGCTATGTGAGTGACCCGATTTTTCTGGTGAGACTAGCAGCTCTTTAGTTTATTTTTATTTTGTTGTATAGATGGGGTCTTCCTAGACTAACAGCTCTTGTAGAGCAAGGATCAAACCACAAACCACTTAACCACTTTTCCCCCTATCTTTCTGTACAGTTCCTGATCGAAAGAGCTATGTGTTCAATCCAAAATGCTGGCTGCCCTGCAGATGAAGCTCAGTCTAGTCCAGGTCAACCTCAGCCTACTGCCCACTCTGCCAGAAGCCATGTTGCCCAGGCTCACATACACCGATACATCAGACCCACTCCCTGCCCAGGAGCTCACAGCACTGTTAGGACCCCTGTTCATTGCACTCCTGCTTACTTGCTCTCCGGGGCAGCCTAAGCCTGGCCTTTTTCTCTGTCCCCCTCCCTGAGATCCCGGATCTCCCTCCCGTACTTCTCTGGGAACGGGCACAGCAGAAGGCCACGATGGTTGCCATAAGGACGAGGAAGGCCACACCAGCTCCTACGGCCACCCCAATGATGACGGCCATCGGCACAGACTCTGTGGGAGAGAAGCGGGCACAGCTGACGAGGGATGGGGAATGGCCTACTATCCCCCCAAGATCTCACCCCGTTCCTGTGGGTGCAGCCCCTGCCACATGGGGCCCTCCTGGGAAATGCCTCAGTCGGGCCTGGGCAGGCACAGGCCGAGTCCAACCGGGGTCAGCTCTAGCTGGGACTGCAAAGACCAGGGTGGAGGACACGGGGGCTTGGTGGGTGGAGGAGAGGGCGGGGGAACTGGGGCAAAGGGCAGAGGAAGGAGAGCGAGGCAGGCAGACACGGAGAAGGGAGGGCCAGGGAACAGGAGGACCGGAGATGAAGGGTGAGGCTGGCACGATGGAACTCTCTCTGGCATTAAACAGGAATGCTCTATCACACTTTGGCCAGTGAGTCATAGGCCCTGGCTTTTTTTTGAAAAACGACTATGGTCACTGCCCTTGTTTGTTCAGAATGTTCTCTCCTTCCCTTCCCTTTCTCGGGTGAATACAGAGGACATCCGGCTCTTAGCATTTCCAGGTCTAAGCAGCTTCCCTGCAGGTCTGCTGGGCATCAGTTGTGGCCCTCAGGTGTCCAAGTCTCAGGGGCCAGGGAGCAGGGTTACAGCTTCTCCACTGCAACCTCTTTAAGGAGAGAGGCCCCTTTCCCTCCATCTCCAGGTCTGCAGCTTCTCCCTGGAGGCCTCCCCTCTGAGCATCCTTGCACCCCTCCCGGCAAGAGAGGCCCACACACTGGGCAGGCAAGGCCTCACCCCTGCTGAGTCTCTGCCGCCTGTCTCCTGCCCAAGCCGAGTGGGGGTAGGGATAGGGAGGGTAAGGATGGAGTTGGGGGTGATCTTCCAGACAGCTCTGGCCCTTCTACGGCTGCAAGTGGGGCCTGAGCACACGATCTGGGGCCATGAGGAGTCCATCAGCAACAGAACTAGAGAATGCTGGGGCAGGGAGAGCTTGGGGCTCTCACTGAGGTCCAGAGAAGTCAAGTGATTTGGCCAAGGACACACAGGAGCTGCACAGCCAGGGTCAATCTAGGTCTCCTGTCACTGCCCTCGCCCCTCCACTCACCCCACTCCCACCCTGTCCAGCTCCACCCACAGAGTGACATGTGAGATCCTCTATATCTCATATGCTCGGTACCACCCAGGCTGCCGCTGCTCCGAGTCCTGGCTCCATCCCTTCTTCTGAGCAATGGACTTTGCCTTTCTTATATCTGTAGAGTGGGGATAATGCTACCGCCCCTCTGAGAGTTGTTATGGGCTTGAGCTGGGTGAGTGTGGGCAGAGGCCTCGGAGCAGAGTCTGGTACCCAGCCCTGTTTGGTGTTTGCTGTTGTTGTTACCTGGGAAGGGGTCACCAGCAGTTCACAGTCCTTTATTTTTGGGACAAAGTCTGGCTGTGACGCCCAGGCTGGAGTGCAGTGGCATGATCTCAGCTCACTGCAACCTCTGCCTCCTGGTTCAAGTGATTCTCCTGACTCAGCCTCTTGAATAGCTGGGATGACAGGCGCCCACCACCATGCCTGGCTAATTTTTGTATTTTTAGTAGAGATGGGGTTTCACCATATTGGCCAGGCTGGTCTCAAACTCCTGACCTCAGGTGATCCGCCCGCCTCAGCCTCCAAAAGTGCTGAGATTACAGGCGTGAGCCACTGCGCCTGATCAGCAGTTCACAGTCTTAAAGGCCAGGAAAGCTCCTTTTAAAGACTGAGCCCCTCCCCCGCCTACCCTGCGTTCGTCAGTGTGGGCGACTGGGGACAGCTAGGTATCCGTTCTGGGTTACAACCCAACAAGCCTTTTGTTGTCTTTTTCTTTAAAGAGAGGAGAAAGACCTCAAACCCTGGCCTCTGAAGATGCTGGTGGGAGGAGGCATCGAAGGGTGGCGGTAGGGGGGCAGCCATTTGCCCTCCGGCCAGAGGAAGCTGGCACCCCTGGCTGGCAGTGTTGTTAGTTAAGTTGGCGCATCCCTTTGCCACCCCAGGACTTGCACACGAAGCCATTCGTTACCTACCGATTAGTGGCCAGGACAACTGCGGGGGTGACGGGGAGGGAACCAAGAGGAAGAGGTAGACACTTGGGCGTTGAAACGCGAGGTGCCCAAGTTGGTTCAAGAGTCAGACTGAGAAAAGGGGCTGGGACTCAGCTGAGCTTGCCTTGCCCAATAGATGACAGCGTCTCTAGGTTTCAGTTCCATGAGGAAAGGGAAACGGCTTTGGCAGCTCATGGACTCTCTGCTTTGGAATTGGATGGATTTGGGTTGGTTTCTCCTCAGATTCCTGGTAACTTTCCTTGGAAAAACACAGGGCTTGTCTCAGCAGAACTCAGAGCCAAAGTATGCCCATGGAAGGCTCCTTAACACCTCTGGGCCTCAGTGCCTTGTCTGCAGCCTGGAGAGCTGGGCAGCGGCATTGAAGGTGCCTTCCGATCCTGGGATCCACAGCCCGTGTTTCCACATGCTGCTGACGGCTGGGGGCGGGGCGCCCTCTTAGCGGGACAATGGTCCCTGGGCAGGTGGGCAGGGGGAGAGCAGGGGGTCCTGTGGGGGTGAGCGCCCCGGGGTGGCATCCCTTTCCAGTCCCCAGCCTGCCTGTGTGTGTTTCTTCCTTGCCTGGCTCCCTCAGGTTTGGCCTAGGGTGATGTGCAGGCCCCTCCTCTCTGCACAGAGCCTTCCCTGCCTGGCCCCTCGAGAGAGACTGGAGGGAGGGGCTGTCCCCGCTCAGCCTCCCCTCCATCCAAGGAGGTTGCCAGGCACCAGGAGTCAGCCACCGACGGGAGAGGGTGTTAGGGAGCTCTGGATGAGTGTCAGCAGACACAGGAGACACGGAGACAGGAGACACCACCCTCAGCATTAGCACGGACCTGGGGAGAATGCAGCGGGAGGCTGGCAGCTTTCTGGGTTGCCCCAGCGTGGGCTGCAGGGGCCTCTGTGAGCGACCTGTGCCCTGGGTTGGTGCTCTGATAGGGGCACGTCTGCCAGGAGGGGCAGAGGCAGGGGCACGAGGATCCCACGTAGAGCTTGAGGAGGTAACACGGGCCAGGGGCCAGTGTGGCAGGAGGCCTAGGGTGGAGGACCACTCAAGTCTTCAGCATGGCCATAGAGCCTGGCATGCTGGTCCTGATTCTCTTTTCTGTTTTTCTGCTTGGGGGTGGGGTTGAGAGCAACTCCACCCAGGGGGCATGATGACTGCTTTGCTGTGTGTGCCTGGGGAGGGAGGCGCTGCCCTGCAGCCTCAGCCTGGGGTGAGATGACACTTCCACGGGGACTGCAGGAGTAGGGAGGGGTGGCAAACAGCAAGCATGGATGCACAAGCCACAGCAGGGGCTGGGGCCCCCGGTGTCCTGGGAAGCAGTGGCCAAGCTGGTGATGATGTGGAGAAGTAGGAAGGGTCGGAGAGAGCCTGGAAGCAGAAGGCAGTCAGGACAGGGACCAGCTGACCCCAGAGGCCAGCTGACCCCAGAGGCCAGGAGTCAGGGCTCCCGAAGAGAAAGGATGGAAGGAATGGAGCAGGGAAGAGTGAGAGCCAGTGTCCCAGAGCGGAAGGAGTTGTGGGTTCCAGCGGCAGGCAGGAGACAGGTCTCTGGGGTCCCTAGGCCCAAGATGGCTGGGACCCCCCCGCCCCGCTGCTCTGACTACGCTAAACCCTCAGGACGGGGGCGGGCAGAGACATTATTGGCCAGCACAGGCCTCCCTGCCCCCTGCTGGGTTCCCTCCCCAGCTAGCCAAGAAATCCCTTCCCCCACCCCCTGCCCAGGGCCATTCTCATCATCTCCTTCCGTACCTGCTTCCAGCCCGGCTCCCGACTTCATTTCCGAACCTGTTTGGAAATAAAGCAAGCGTCTACAGCCAGGGCCTGGCTGGCCAGGGTAGGGTGGGACTGGGGATTAGCTGCTTGAGGGGGGCTGGGTGAGGGGTTCCTTTCCCAGTCACGTCTCTGGGACCCCCAACAGATCCAGGCTAGCCCAGTTGAACGTGGAGTTCATTCAGACTGACTTAGAGACTGGAGGGGGCTAGGGACCAGAGAGAGAAATCATGTCTCGGAGGGGTCTGGGGAGGTTGGGGTGAGAACACTTGGGGGAGGGCATGGGGGTGGGGGCACCAAGGAGAAGACACGGAGGGTAGGCAACAGGGGACCAGGAAGGTTTGGGATGATGTGTGGATGATATTATGCAAATTATGTGCAAAGCATTATGCAAAGCAGCATCTATTAGGGAAGAGGTGTTGGGAGATACTGTGCGATTTGACCCATAGGTGTGATCCTGGTGTGGTCCACTGAGGCCTGGGGACCCTACTGAGACCACCCACTTGGCCTAGAATCTCTTGCTGGGTCTGACAGCCTGCGAATGGGCCTTTACGTAAGAGGGTGTCAGAGACTGCCAGGACTGAGGCCTCCTGGGCGCCCGAGGCCCATCCAAAGGCCCAGGCCCAGCTGAGCACGAATCCCTGGTCCACCATGGCTTAGCCCCTGCTGGCAAAAGGGCAAGATTGACCACCCCTCTCAGAACCCAGCTTGCTGCTGGCTGTGGTGGAGCTTCCGGAGCCACCCCTCCGGGCCCCTCCAAGGCTCCCCATCCTGCTGTCTGTGCCTGAGAGCTCCAAGCAGACCTGGAGATCTGAGCATCTTTGACCAGGAGCTGGGATGTCAGTGCACGGGGGCTAGTGGGGTGAGCCTTCTTCCTCCTCCTTCTCACCCACTGGACTGCTTTGCCCAGCGCTGCCTTTGCGGCACAGGGGTCCCTGTGCCTCCTAGGTCTGCAGGTGGTGTGAGCCCAGCCCCCGGCCCTAGGGATCTGGACAAACAAGCCCGACCCCTTAGCTTTGGAGTGGGTGCCCTCTGTGGGACTTCCGTCTGAGTAACTGGATGGGCTTGTCATCTTCACTGTGGCTGGGCCAGGTTCCCAGCACACCCATGCCAGTATATCCCACGCTCCACCCAGGTATGACACCTCCCAAAGGGCACTTTGGTGTCAGACCAGGGCCCACGGCGGAGGGCAGGGCGCAGAAGCCGAGGCCTCTGGAGGCTGCTGGGCAGCTTGTCATTGCCACCCGCCTGCTCATTGCTGTGGTCACCTCCTACTGAAGTATCGCCCTCAAAGGCTGCTGCTCTGAGCTGTGTGCTTCCCTTTCTTGGTTCCTGGTGGAGGCTGGTGGCCCTTGCTTCAGCGAGAGCCTGGCTGAGGAGGCTTCTGGCTGGCTAGGCTGTGTGGTCGGCCAGGAGGAGCACTGTGGCTTGTCCTTGGGCCCCGGCCCACCTTGCAGCCACCTGGGCCCTGCCCTAGGCGAGGAGAGGGCCCCTCTGGTTCCATCGTTCATCGTTCCCTCATGGCCCTGGCAGCTCTCACCTTGCTCCTTGAGCCGGATGATCTCAGTGTCGGAGCCGAAGCTGTTCCAGGCCGTGCAGTTGTAGATGGTCTGGAAGTCGGCCCGCACGATGTTGCTGATGGTCAGGGTGGAGATGACGCCCTCCTCGGTGCTGATGGTCTCCACCGTGTAGCGCCCCGATGTCCCCGACTCCAGAACGTTCTCCTTCCAGGACCAGGCCTGTCCGGGGGTGCAGAATCAGGAGCAGACTCCACCAGAGGGGCCCAGGACACGCCCACACCAGAGTCACAGTGCCACTGCCCTGCTCATGTTCATGCTCACTGCCACACACTAACACATGTACACTCGGGTATGTATGCAGGCACACACGCCACACACCACAAATATGCACACATGCAGGTGCACACACAACACACATCACCACACATGTGCATGCACAACATCCCACACAGCACAAACATGCATGTACACATGTGCACACACAACACGCAAACACATGTCAATGCACAGCACCGCACACATGGTCAACACATTTATATACATACCACACACCACAAACATGCACCCATTATAACACACACAACATACACATACCACCAATGTGTATACACACAGGTTTGTGCACACGCACCACAAACATGCATACGCAAGTACATGTACCACAACACACATAAACATGCATCACAGCATATGTACACACCAAATCACACACAACACATCACATCGCACACATGCCTGCATACATGTGCACATGCCACAACATGCATACACACCTCACAATACATGCACATCACACTTCACACTAAAAACATGATACAGACATGTACATACACATGGCAGACACGATACCACATCTACACGCAACACACAGACACTCCCCCAAATACATGTACACATGCACACAAACACCAAGATGCACACACTATATGCCACATACAATACAAGCATGCTTACACTCATGTATGTACAACACACACTGCAACACATGTACGCATTCGCCATACACACACCATCATGTGTACATACAGGTACACACACTGACATACACACACACCATGTGCTCACACACACAAGTACACCACCGACAGATATACATGTTCACATATGCCATGACACACATACATGACAACACACCCACACCACACATGCACACAATCCACAAGCACAAGCACACACACATACTCCGGGGCATCCTCAGAGGGTCTTTCCATCCCAGAAGGGGGCCTGGGGAGCATCATTCGGGGCAAAGTGGGCACCCTGCTGGCCTGCGCCCTGCGCCTCCACACAAGTGTCCCCTGGGACTGCGGCTGCCTGGGCGGGTGTGAGTTAGGACAGCAGCCCCATGAATGCGTCTACCTGTGTGACATTGTGTGTCTGTGTGAGAAATGTGTCTACAGAGCTGTGTCTGCGATCACCTTTGTCTACCTTAGTTTACAGGGCTGCTGGTTAACAGTTTTCAGAGCCGGCCACATACACTGTCTGCACCTCATCGTGTAAGCGCCTTGCACACCCTGGTTCAGGGCTGATGAGAGGGACTGAGTTTCTCAAACTCGGTGCTGTTGTCATGCTGGACTGACCCATTCCTGGCTGTGGGGCTGTCCCAGGCACTGCAGGATGTCAGCAGCACCCTGGCCCCTACACACCCAGTGCCAGGAGTATCCTCCAAGTAATGACAACCAAAGTGTCCCCAGGCACTGCCAAATGTCCCCTGGGGCCAGCGAGAACCGCTGGCCTAGAATCAGATATTTCTGGAGAGAAGGTGCGAAAATGTCCAAGAGTGAATGGAATATTTGACAATGAGCTTGTGTTACATTTATAATTAAAAACATTAAAGAGTAAAATGAATGACGAGGCATAGGTATTAGTTTTATTTGTGAGTTCTTGCAATTTTTTTGTGAATCTTTCAGAAAGCGAATGAACTGAATGCTTGAGAAAGTGTGTAGCGGCAATAATACTCTAATAATATCTTCGTTTACAGGATGACAGTTTCAACTGGTGCAGCCTGGGTGTCAGCCCCCGCATGCACGGATTAGGAGTGACCTCAGCTGCTCCATGTCTGGGCCAACCCCACCCTCCCTGCACTGCCGCCTTGTGAAAAGGTACAGCTGCCCTGCCCACTCCACCCCTGGGCAGTCTTCTAGCAGGATTTTGCCAGACACTGGGAATTACTACAAATAATAGTTTTCCCCAGTAGTGCTATAAAATGCTCACTTTTCTTTGTTTTCATGCCTGAGATCCCTCCAGTTTCAGATGGATTTGGGTACAAGACTCTGCCCCCTGGATCACTAAAAATACAAAAAAACTAGCCGAGTGTGGTGGCAGGTGCCTGTAATCCCAGTTACTGGAGGTCGAGGCAGGAGAATTGCTTGAACCCAGGAGGCAGAGGTCGCAGTGAGCCAAGATTGCGCCATTGCACCCAGCCTGCGTGATAGAGTGAGACTCTGTCTCAAAAAAGAAAGAAAGAAAGAAAAAAAAGACTCTGCCCTCACCTTAAACTTTGTTGTAGAGACAGGGTCTCACTATGTTGCCCAGGCTCATCTCAAACTCCTGGGCTCAATTGATCTTCCCACCTCAGCCTTCCAAAGTGCTGGGATTACAGACATGAGGCTCCGTGCTCAGCAAGACCCTCCCTTTAAAAAAATGCAAATGCTGGCTGGGCACAGTGGCTCATGCCTGTAATCCCAGCACTTTGGGAGGCTAGGGTAGGAGGATCAATTGAGCCCAGGAGTTTGAGACCAGCCTGACCAACATGGTAAGACCCCGTCTCTACTGAAAATACAAAAATTAGCCAGGCATGGTGGCAGATGCCTGTAATCCCAGCTACTCAGAAGGCTGAGGCACGAGAATTGCTTGAACCCAGGAGGTTGAGGTTGCAGTGAGCCGAGATTGTGTCACTGCATTCCAGCCTGGGTGACAGAGCGAGACTCCATCTCAAAAAAAAAAAAAAGGCAAGCAAATACCTGGTAGGAGGTGCTGAGGGTGGACTCCTCAGTTGCCTTAGCTGCACTGCAAGGATAAGTTCTTTGAAGAAGGGAGGGAGACTGGAATGGTCACTTTAGAGGGGATGATTGATAGGTAACAGGGCAGGCTACCATGGACGGTAAAGGCCGTGGAGACCTGGCAAGGAGGACTCAGGGAGGCACAGAAAGGAGTTGCTAACTATTAACTGCACTCTAAGATTTTGCTAAATACTGGCCTGGAGCCCAGGAAAGGGAAGAAGTCATTTGTCTTTTCTCTCCACTACCCTCGTGTGCCCCTCTGCCCTTAGGATGCGGAATTTGGTCAGAACTGTTCATGTCAGAGCTCAGCAGAACGGCAGATGAATCCTGGGAGAGCACTGCCTATTCTGAGAAAGGCCTGCAATTTTGTCTTCGCGACGCTTTTCCAAGACAGCCAAGGCAGGTATAATTTTCCTCAGCAAGGAAAAGGAGCCTCGGAGGTGTGCATTGCCACCGCCTGGCTGGCCACCCAGCTATTGGCAAAAGTGACCGTCTGGCTGCTGGCCCGGCCCCCGCCTGCCCCTGGAGCACTCACGATGCGGTCCGGCGGCGGTGTGCTCCGGATGAAGCACTTGATCTGGCCCTTCTCGCCGTGGAGGGCGTGCTGGGTCTGGGTGCTGGAGATGATGGGGGGTCCTGTTGAGAGACAGCGTCCCATTAGGCACCTGGGAAGGGCACGTCCCTGCTGGCGCCCTCTTGGGTGGGTTCAGAAGTGTATTCATTAATCCAAGCATTCAGCAAACATTTGCAGAAGGCCTGTATGTGCAAGGTAAAGTGCAAGGTAGGAACTCAGAGATAAATTAGGCATTCAGTCATAAACCTCTCAAGGGATCATGAGTGAATGCTTCTAAGTCAGAATCCCCAGAAGATATAAATAACTGTAATAAAAGGTGGTGAGTCTTAGTACTACAGGAGCGGTGCAGATAAAGTGCTAACTGACTTCAGAGGAGAGAGAATAATTCTATCTGGCGGACGGGGAAAGCTTTAGGGAGGAGGTAGTAAGCCTGGAAAGGAGGTGGGAAGGTGTCTGGATGAAGGAAGACTCCCCCTGCCTCAGCCAGCTGCACCCCTGCAAGCCATTCCTTAGACATCCAGTAGAGGGCACCCTTGCCTAACAAACGGGAGGTCCTCGGCCAGCCGGGCCAACGAGAAGAAATGGTTGATGTCCCCCTCCTAAGGGCGGGGATCACCCTGGACGGTGGAATGCATACGCTGTGAGGCCATGGTTCCCAAACGGACCCCGATGTTATATCACAGAGTGTGGCACATGTTCATGGGTCAGGTTCTGAGAGCACCTGCCTCATTCACCACATTGCACAGGCAAGAGAGTCTGCCTGGTGGAGGGGAGCCTGTTCCCCAGCACCTCTTGTCCAGTTCCTCCTGTTACCTAACCCAAGTCTTTCCCGTGTGACGCCTGCCTGGCCGTGAAAGCCAAAAGGAGCCGCTAGTTTAGCTTCGCTCTGCTGGCTTCCTGGCTGGGCTGGGTGTTTGAAGGATGGGTGTAGGGACGGAAACGGTCATGCTCCCTTTTCAATCCCCGGGGTAACAGTTGAGACTTAGGTGGTAGATACCAGAGGAAAGAGAGCTGGGAGCAACGCATCTGGAGAACAGGCAGAATTATGCCGGGAACAAAACAAAAATTGCTGCAAACATAATTGCTGTTTATTAGCCACCTTAATTAAAGCAGATTTGCATTTCTATGAGTAGCTCCCAGCCAAAGGAGAAAAGGTACTGGAGACACTCCGGTGACTTCTGTTGAGTCTGAGAAGGCAAAGGGCTTGGGGCAGCGTGAGGTGGGCGTGGGGAACCCTCCATGGCTTTAAGAATGGGCTGAGCGCTGCCCTACTTCCTACAAATCCTTTAGCTCCAACAGGTCTAGGACCCAAAGAGATGAGGAGATTGATGTTTTCGGAACCGGATGGTGCTTTGTTTTGCTGCTGGACTAAAAGGTGACAATACTATAAAACCTTTTCTGGTCAGGCGCGGTGGCTCACGCCTATAATCCCAGCACTTTGGGAGGCTGAGGCGGGCGGATCACAAGGTCAGGAGTTCGAGACCAGCCTGGCCAATATGGTGAAACTCCGTCTGTACTAAAAATACAAAAATTAGTCGGACGTGGTGGCAGGAGTCTGTAGTCCCAGCTGCTTGGGAGGCTGAGGCAGGAGAATTGCTTGAACCTGGGAGGCAGAGGTTGCAGTGAGTCAAGACCACCCCACTACACTCCAGCCTGGGCGACAGAGCAAGACTCTGTCTCAAAAACAAACAAACAAAACCAAAAAAAAAAAAAAAAAAAAACCCCAACACACACACACACACACACACACACACACACACACACACACACACACAACCTTTTCCTTGTGCTTCCAGGAGCTAGGAATTCCCTGAGGGGTTTTCAGGATTCTAAAAGGCATCATCAAATGCATCTGCTTCTTAAAAGAAAACAAAAACCAGATAAAGGGAAACAGGGTGAGGGTTAGTAAGGTTTCTCTCCCCTTCCTGCAGATACCTGATTTGAGCCAAATCGGTTGAGGTCTGTGCCAATTTCTTTCCCAAAGGATTGCTGCGCTGGCCAGCAGTTGTCAAAAACCTGATCTCATTTGAATGCTTTCATAGCACCAGCTCCCTCCAGCCCATGCCCAGGTCCCATCCACTGGGTTTCACCCTCCCTCTGCCTGCTCTGCAGAAACAGGGACAGACAGTTCACTCCCAGGAGGGTCTGGCGGGCTCCTCTCCAGGGCCACTGAACTCATCCCCCTGCCTCCAGGTGTGTGAGGCCACCCTAGTCCAGCAGAAATAAATGAGCAGCTTCTTTGCTTCCCTCCAATCCCTCCAGCTTTTCTCTGCCTGGAAGCCTCGGGGAGCTTGTGCAGGCAGGGGTTGAGGCAGAGGAGGGGAGAGAAAGAGACCTGGAGAGTGCAGATTCAACCTTGGTCAGCACCAGGAACTGGGTTTCAGTGTCCTCCCCATCCAAGAGAAATGTCCCTCCAGGCCTGTGTTCCCCAGGGGGCATTCTGTCCTCAAGAAATCTCTTTATATCTCCCTTGGAAATGCCTGAACATCTAAAGTGACAGCAGATGTCAGCTCCTCCTTTATCCACCTGCTTTTTCCCAGAAACACCAATGCTCATTTAATGCTCCAGGCTTGGGGGCCCTGGAGTGTGTGAATGAGCGTGAGGGTTCTGGGCTGGTTGGTCATGGGGCCAGCAGAGCAGAGCCGGCTGCAGGCACGGACAGCCTGACTTCCGAGTGCCCTGGCTGGTGCGGGCTGTGTGGAGGCCGCTGGTTTCACTGGGGCCTGGAGCTCTGAGCCGAGTGTCAGACACCTGCGCTGAAAGGAAAAGGCTGCAGCCTGTGTTGCCATGGATATACGGAGGCGCGATCAGATGCTGTTATTTTTAGCCCTGCAGTGCCGATTTATTGGTGGCGTCCTGGGGACACGCAGGAAAGGCAGGAGGGCTCTGAGTCAGGGCTCTGCCAGGACGGGTGGCTGGGAACGTGCTGGGGTCTGGGTAGACTCAGCCTCCCTCTGGGGCTGCCATGGCTCTGGGGTGGGGGGAGAGGAATGGAAATGCCTGGGATGTGGGGGGAGCTGGTGATTGGGACAGCAGAGAAGGCTGAGGAGACACCAAGCTGGTTTTGGTTTTCTAGCGAAGGGAATCGATGAGGCCACCAGCAGGTGGCTTTCTGGGTAGAGAGGACGCTGAAGCCCACTGAGCTCATTTGGAGACCTCAGCTGGCCCCTCCCTAAGGCCCTGCTCTGGGGCCAGGACCCAGATGCCCTGCAAACGTTGGTGGCTCAGTTCCTGCAGGGGCCCAGAGCTTTGGGGTTTTCATCTGAGGCAGGCTATGGTGGGAACAGGGGCCTCCCAAAGGGCGGCGGGCATGACAGAGGTTTGGGGGGAGCCTTCGGAAATGGCAGAGGAGTCGAACTGGCAGCTTTGCTTTTTGCCTGTGGCCAAAGCACCTGATGGGGCAGGGATGTCCGCATTTGCGTCCTGGTGCCACAGCCTTCTTGGGTCTGGCCTGAGCCAGGTCCCAGCTTCTCCATGACTGTCTACACCCCATCATCCAGGCCTGGTCTGACACCCTTGTCCCTACACATTTCTTGTAATAATCATTCATCTACTAACTCCCACCGTGAAAAGACTCCCCTGCTGTAATTATTTGTATTATATATAATAAGACATGCTTCCTGCCCTCGAGGGGGCCCCTGAACACGTGGCCTGGTGGAGATGGTGACAGGGCTCCCTGGCTGGGTGGCTCACACGTAACGGAAAGAGGCTGGTCAGGAGGTGCAAGAGATGCTCTCTTAAATTCCCATGGGGCCAGGAGAGGTGGCTCCTGCCTATAATCCCAGCACTTTGGGAGGGCGAGGCAGGCGGCTCACTTGAGGTTAGGAGTTGGAGACCAGCCTGGCCAACGATGGTGAAACCCTGTCTCTACTAAAAATACAAAAATTAGCTGGGCATAGTGGCACATGCCTGTAGTCCCAGCTACTCAGGAGGGTGAGGTTGCAGTGAGCTGAGATCGTGCCACTGCATTCCAGTCTGGACAACAGAGCAAGACTCCATCTCAAAAAAAAAAAAAAAAATTCTCATGGGCCAAGGCCATGGTGAGTGGATGAAATACATTGGCCACCTAGTGACCTCCGATGCTTTTTTCCCTGGCCAGGATAAAATTCATCACCCACCAGTCTTAGGGCCGAGACCCCTTCGAAGGTAACAAACAAAAAGGTGACCAGAAAACTCTCCAGGCCCTTCCTCCCCTGGCCTGGGTCTGACAGGGAATCCAGGAGGTGGACCTAATTGCTATCTACCCACAGCTGGAGGTGACAGCAAGGCCCAGAGCCAGTGACAGCTCCTTTGGGGCAATGCCAAGATGCCTGAGGTCCTTCTTCCCTCCCTCAGGCCTGGCTCACCCCAGTGAGGGTCTTACCATTGACAGTGAGGGTCACCTCTCTCTCCCCGGCTCCCACACGGGGCACCACAGCCCGGCACACGTACTTGCCCGCGTCCTCCTGGCGCACGGATTTGAGGGTCAGGGTCTTCTCATTGCTCAGGACCTAGGAGAATTGGCAGGCTCAGACACCAAGAGCAGGCGGAGGGGCGCGCTCCGTCTCTGGGAACAGGGCAGCTGAGAGGCTGGCCTGGGGTAACTGACGCAGTCTCCCGCATCTCAGTAGGAAGCAAGGTGGGGAGGAAAGAGGCCAAAAATGTCCTGGCACAGACAATGCCTGTGGGCTGTACAGAGGAGACTCCGCCGGCAGAGAGGCCGCCCCGTGTGGCTGAGGATGTTGCATCCCAGGTGCAGCCCTGTGGGCTGGGGGCACGCGGGGGTACATGTGCCGGAGGAGGGGGATGCCTGCCTGGGGACTTCCAGCCTTCCTCCTACAGGAACCTCCCTGTACCTGCGGTGGCTTCTCCTCTCCCAGGCTAGCCATGGGTGACCTGATCCTACAGCTGAACTTCTTTGAGAGCCCCTGGACCTGTTTTCAGAGTCATTTTCAGGATCCCTTTGGGTTATAGCTTGGAGTGATGAAAACAGGTTCTGGCATGAGCTTGGTCTGTGTTCGAATCCTGGCTCCAGCAGTGAACACCTGTGTCTGTCTGGTCAGTTGCTTATCTTCTCAGATGCTCACTTTCTGTCTATGTGGGGGCCTGGCAGGATAATGCAGTATCTGCTACGTAACAGGCCACACAAAGGTTGGTTTCCTTCTGGTCCCCCTGCTTTCCCACCTGAGGCTCTCCCTGCTTCTTCTTATGTGAGGACACCTGACAGCCTCTCATGCACTGAAGAATACGTACGTCTTAAAAGAGGAACACAAAGGCCGGTGGCTCACGCCTGTAATCCCAGCACTTTGGGAGGCCGAGGTGGGCGGATCACTTGAGGTTGGGAGTTTCAGACCAGTGTGACCAACATGGAGAAACCCTGTCTCTACTAAAAATACAAAATTAGCTGGGCATGGTCGCCCGTGCCTGTAGTCCCAGCCACTTGGGAGACTGAGGCAGGAGAATCTCTTGAACCTGGGAGGTGGAGGTTGCGGTGAGCCAAGATCACCACATTGCACTCCAGCCTGGGCAGCAAGAGCAAAACTCCACCTCAAAAAAAAAAAAAAAAAAAAAAAAGGAACACAAGAAAGTGAAGCCCAGGTTCAAGGCTAAAGGGTGGCTTTATTTGGGGGAAGTTACAAAATTTCTTTCTTTTCTCTCTCTCTCTTTTCTTTTTTAAGGTCTTGCTCTGTTGTCCAGGCTGGACTTAAACTCTTGAGCTCATGTGATCCACCCACCTCAGCTTCCTGAGTAGCTGGGACTACAGGTGTGTACCACTGTGCCCGCTTGAAAAGCCTTTCTAGCGCCTTCCCTCCCAGCACGTTGGTGACCACCAACTTGTCTTATAAGGTTTAGGACAGGGCAAGACTGCAATGGCTGAATGTGGTCAGGGTGGGACAGGCACATGAGGGTACCTGGGTTCCCCCTCCTCTTTCTGGGGTCTTTCTCCCTGTGGCTTACACTGGAGGCTGACTCCCCCAATCTAATAGTGAGAGAGGCCTGGGCAGCAGTTCCTTCTTGCCCCACTGTCCCCCACCCCCTGCCAGGGCGACCCGAAGTCTGAGCTGCAGACTTACCACTCCAGAGCCCCGCTTCATCCAGACGATGGTCAGGGATGGGTTACCGGTCCAGGCGCAGCTGAAGATGGCATCAGAGCCCAGATCCACGAGCAAGGATTGCGGTTCTGTGGTCATCCGGGGCCCAACTGCAATGCGGGGAAGAAGGAGACAGGTTTGGGTGGCTGGGGAGCTCTGGGATCCTCCTTGCTGCTGCCTCCTTTCCCCCCCAGACCTTGACTGGGGGAAGGGAGGCAGCAGGGTACTTGTGCCACCTCAGTCGCTTCCATTTTAGTCCTCTGCCCGGGCGGGGTCTGGGGTCTGGGACTGGGACTCAGGAAGTAGGGAGCAGACCCCTGTCCCTGAGGCTTCGCCTCTCTTGGGCCCACGGAGGTGGTCGGCAGCGTGGGGCCTGGGAAGAAGGTGCTGGGGACCAGGTTCTGCCTGGATTTACCCCCAGGGCTCTCATCCCCTTCCCTCTGTCTGGATCCCAAATGGTGCCAGAAAGTTGGGGAAGCCCTTCCATCCCAGCGGCAGGCATGGGCCCTCCTCCTGTCCTGGAGGTCTGGGCCCTTGGGATCTTCATGCCTCTGCCTTCAAGCTGGCTCCCATCTCCTCCAGCCTCAGCTTTCATGACCTGGAATCGAGTGACTGGTGCACCTCTGGGGTGGGATGGGGGCTCTGAGATGCAGGGTGATGGAGGCAGGGCTCTTGTGATCCACTCCTCCTCCCCCAGCGTTTCCCACCCAGTGCTCTCAGGCCACCCTCCTATTCCAGCTATTCTGGTCTCTGTGTCAGCCCCACTGCAGCAGAGCAGCCCTGGGTTCCACTTCCCACCCCTCTCCTAAGCATTAAAGAGCTGAATGCAGGCTCCTCTCCACCTTCTCCAGCATGTCTGGAGCTTCCTGTAGACCCAGCTTGGTCTACACAGTGGGGGCTGTGGGGGGATTCCAAGCCCAGGGTCCGGCCTTGGCCAGGCAGGTCTCAGAGTTCTCCTTCCAGGGAGCAGACAGAGCCTGAAGCCTGGTGCCAGGAGACTGGGATTTGTCCCCTGATGTAAAAAGGGAGTAACAGCACTTTCTTCAGAGGCTTCAAGGGAGAGGGGAAGGGTCAGATTTTTTAAAGTTTGTAAAAGCGAGTTTAAAACTGTAAGGGGCAGTGTATGAGCTAATGATGCTTGTTTTGAACACATCCAGCCAGTTAGTCCATGGCAATGCGCTACCTTGCTGTGGGTCCCTGCCAGCCTCCAGTGGAAAGGAGGGGATGGGCCAGGCGCGGTGGCTCACGCCTGTACCCCAGCACTTTGAGAGGCCGAGGTGGGTAGATCACAAGGTCAGGTCAGGAGATCTAGACCATCCTGGCCAACATGGCGAAACCATCTCTACTAAAAATACAAAAATTATCTAGGTGTGGTGGCAAGTGCCTGTAGTCCCAGCTACTCGGGAGGCTGAGGCGGGAGAATCTCTTGAACCAGGGAGTCAGAGGTTGCAGTGAGCAGAGATCTTGCCACTGCACTCCAGCCTGGCAGCAGAGTGAGACTCTGTTTCAAAAAAAAAAGAAAAAGAGAGTATATCCATGAGTCCCCTCAGTGGAAGGCAGTGGAATGTGTGGATGGGCAATGGATTTGGTCATTGCCCAGGTTCAGTTCTCATTTGGCCACTTACTGTGTGACCTCAGACCTCCATCTCCTCATTTACATGATGGGAATAATAATATCTACCCATGATGGCCTGCATGCTTGTGTCCCCTGTCAACCCTGCAATTGAGCTCATGTGAGCCTCCCACCTCAGCCTCCTGAGTAGCTGGGACTACAGGTGTGTACCACTGTGCCTGCTTGAAAAGCCCTTCTAGTGCCTTCCCTCCCAGCACGTTGGTGACCACCTACTTTTCTTATAAGGTTTAGGACAGGGCAAGACTGCAATGGCTGAATGTGCTTAGGGTGGGACAGGCACATGAGGGTGCCTGGGTTCCCCCTTCTCTTTCTGGGGTCTTTCTCCCTGTGGAAGAAAGTTGAAATCCTCGCCCCTGTGGGATGGTAGTAGGAGGAGGAGCTTTGCGGGGAGCAGGGGGATTAAATCATGAGAGTGGAGCCCTCATGATGAGATTAGTGCCCTTGGAATAAAGGCCCCAAGAGCTTGCTTTTCTCTTTCTCTGCCATGGGATGCCACAGCAAGAAGGCAGCTGCCTGCAAGCCAGTAAGGGAGTCCCCACCAGAACCCACCATGATGGCACCCTGATTTCAGCCATTTAAGTCACCGAGTCTATGGTAACATGTCATAGCAGCCCCAGCCAAGACCCTGACTCATGGGGTCATTACGGGGATCGAAATAAACACGAAACACTGCACAAAGCAGGTTTTTGTTGAGTGCAAAGCATCCTACGTCATGATGCATGAAGCTTGTGTTGTGTGCAATGAATCAAGCCCTGGTTTCTCCAGCTCTAAGCAGAAGCCACTGGATGCCTGCTCGCCTGGGGAAGCCTGCACCACTGCACTCACAGTAGACGTCAACCGTGCGGCTGAGGTTGGTGCTGCCCAGGGCATTGGTCACCTCGCAGGAGACAGGCTCTGAGAAGTACGTGTAGTCCACTGTGGTCCTGTACACCTCTCCAGATGCCTCCTTGATGATCTGGCCCCGCTTGGCCCACCTGCAACAAAGGCCAGGGGCTGATGTGGGCCTTGAGTGGCAAGGCCAACCCTCTGGGAGCTGGATGCATCCATCCCATGGGAAAATGAAGCCTGGGGTGGGCGGCAAGTTGTGGGGGTCCTATGGGGTCCCTCGAGGGGAATCTTCACAGAGGGGCTACTTCAAGGGCTCAGAAGGAGTTGGTTTTGCTCCCATCCAGGCAGTTGTGAAGGTGGCGGGCTTTGGTTTGTGGTCACCAGGCAGTCAGTGGCACTCAACAAGTAGGTTATTCTGGAGGGGGTGAGTGGATTACTCGGCTGGTCAGCCCATCTGCTGGCTAGATGATGGAAAATCCAACTGTCAGTGGGCAGACAGCTGACTGTCCTGCTCTGAACTGGATCATGGGCCCCTTTGGAAAAGAAGGAGGCCAAGTCCTTGACCTCAAAGGCCAGGGTCAAATGGAGCACACCCCTACATGCATGCTCATACGTGTGCACGAGCATGCACACACACACACTGACAAGGCGAGAAGCTGTAGGAGAGGTATGCCGTAGGGGTTCCATCTCCCATCCAAACAGTGGAATACTAATACCCATCAGGAGGAGTGGCATGAGCCAGTGGCCCTGGCTGCCCTCTTTCCTCTCGACCAGCTCTCAGCTCTCCTGTCCTGTTCTGCCTCCTGCCTCTATGGGGTTCTGCATGGTGCCTCCTCACCCCAGAAAGTCCTCCCAGTTTCCCCAGATGACACTTGCTCTTCTTCCTGCCTGGCCTCTGCCCTTGCAGCCTGGCTTTGCTCCTCTGAGGCAGTGGCTCCATCAGCACTGGATTGGTGAGGGGATGTGAGTCTTAAGGCTCTTTTGTCGGCCAATCGGTACCATACAATAAGGGAGGACAAGAGGCCTCTGACTTGCTTTGGATCTGGTTCTGGGGCAGTGGCCCCTCTGTTGGACCAGTGACCCAGCAGCCTGCTGTGTGCAGGAAGCACTGGAGCCTCACAGGGGTGTATATGTGTACACATGTATGTGTGTGCATGTGTGTGTGCAGGTGTGCATATGAAAGTGCATGTGCGAGTGTGCATGTGTGTGCATGTGCATGTGTGTGTGCATGTGTGAATGTGTCCATGTGCACGTGTGCATTCGTGAGTGTGCATGTGTGAGTGTGGGCATTGTGTGTCCATGTGCATGTGTGCATGTGTATGTGCATGTGTGAGTGTGGGTATGTGTGAGTGTGTGCATATGTGTCCGTCTGTGTGCATGTGTGAGCGTGTGCATATGTAAGCATGTGCATGTGTGCATGTGTGTGTGCATGTGTGTCTCTGTGTGTGCATGCGTGAGTGTGTGCATGTGTGTCCGTGTGTGCATGTGTGTGCATGTGTGCATGTGTGAGTGTGTACATGTGTCCGTGCGTGCATGTGTGAGCATATGCATGTGTGTATATGTGTGTCCGTGTGTGTGCATGTGTAAGCATGTGCATGTGTGCATGTGTGTCCATGTGAGTGTGTCCATGTGTAAGCGTGTGCATGTGTGTCCGCATATGTGTGTCCATGTGTGTGTGCATGTGTCATGTGCATGTGTGAATGTGTTCATGTACATGTGTGCATGTGAGTGTGTGCGTGTGTGTCCATGTGCATGTATACATGTGTGTGTCCATGTACATGTGTGTATGTGTGAGCATGTGCATGTGTGAGAGTGTGGATATGTGGGTGTGTGCATGTGTGGGCATGTGCATGTGTGAGCGTGTGCATGTGCATATGCATGTGAAGTTGGGGGCTTCCTTACGGATCTCCAGGGAAAGAGTTCGTTTCCCCTGGTTTAATCCTATTCTGGCCAACATTCTGTTTTTGAAACCACGGAACTTCTCTTCAGGCTCCTCCCATTGCAGGTGACGTGTCTTTCGGGGAGTTTGTCTTTCCAGAGCTGCAGCGGCTCGTTGCCTCCAGAAGCGTCGCCCCGCAGCCACTGCTCCCTGGAACTGCAGTGTCTCTGCCCCCTGCTTTGCCTCCCCTTTATCTTATTCCTGGAGTCTTTCCTGGCACCACAGATGCTGTCTCCTGCCCTTCCCTCCATTAGCTTCTTGCCTCCGTCTGGCCCATCCAGCCCCGAGAGACGGCTGTTTCTCGGCATCACACAGAACACCTAGGCTGGCACCACGCAGTTGTTATTGCAAATTAATATTGGGTAATTATTAAGAACACAATTAATAATAACAATTGTAGTTTAACAACAGAGCAAACCATAGCTCCCTTAGAGCTTAAGGAGCTTCCCAGTAAGCTATTATGTGTTAACTCATGTGTCGTTTCAATTTCTAACTTTAATTTAATGACCAGACTTAAGAGTCAAGCCGGCCCCTGCCTGCGGCAAATGAATTCAGTTCCAGGCACAGCTGGGGAAGTGTGTCCAGCCCTGCAGTTCCTTCCACCCTGCTGAGGCGAGGGGGCCAGGTGGTGGATGCAGCGGGAGGCCAGCCGGGGAGCTGGCTGGGCTGGGAGGACAGGGGTCCCCGACTGCTCACAGCTCTGGGTGCCGGGCTGGGGCTGGAGGGTTTGGGCGCAGGTGATTGGGCCAAACATGCGTCTTCCTCAGGGCTTCCTGGAGAAGACGCAACTCTCTCCTCTCCTTTCCTCCCAGGGCCCCTCACCAGGAGCGTCATGGAGGGTGGAAGCCCCACGTGCTTGGCCCCAAGTTATCAGCAGAACTGCTGCTGGCTCCAGGCGCCAAGGTTCCCTGCCCTCCCTATCCTCTCCTCTCACGGTGAGGGAGCCGGAGAAGGAAGAGGAAGGGGCCCGCTGTGGGGGCTGGGTCTGCAGGAGCCCAAGCCAGGCCTTCTGGGGAGGTGCCTCTGCAGCCGACAGAGCCCCCAGCTCACATCTTGCCCAGCCGGTCTTTCTTCCCCTTCTGCATTGAAAAACCCTCTGAGGGGTCCCTGCCAAAAACACAGACACTCAAACCACTGCATCCACGCAGTTGGCCAAGGATCCAGGCCAAGAGCTAAAGAGCGAGTCCCGCCCCACCCTCTTTGTGCCTCTTCTGATTTTGGTGCAGTTTCTTCTTCCCTGTCCTTTCTCTTCGTCTCCTCCCCTTTCCCCACCTACCTCCCCCGACTCACTGTTGCTTCCCCACCTCTCCCAGCCCCTCTGAAAGTGGAGTCAATTTAAGCCTCTCCCAATCAATGTCTAATTTGGTCTGAACAAATGTAAGATGATTATTTATATCACAGAATCAGGGGACCCAGCGTGTCACAGCAGCCAGGTTGTCCTCAAATAGCCCAAAGTTTCATCTCTGGTGGGGGGGGCCACATCCCGCTATCTGCTGGGATAGCTGAGACTCTCAGAGGAAAGGGCCCCAAAGCACTTTGGGCTCCTGGTCCCTGGGAGCATCTGCAGCGACACCCTCATGCCACTCAGGCCTCCTTCCCAGACACGGGGATGGAGGAGGGCGTTCTCTCTAGTTTCAGAGATGACAGCCTCTTAGTGAGAGCAGGGAGGAAGTTATCAAGATGAATGAAAGTAAAGAAACAAAGATTCCTGTAATCTTGTCAGTTAGTTGGGAAAAATCAATGTACTTATGTGATGAGATTTGCTTATGACTTTCTTCGTGGATCCCAACATTGTATCTGAACACCTGGCTGCTTGGTGAGACCTTGCTGGAGTGAAGGGGCTGAGCGAGTGTGGGTAGGTGCAGGCGCCCACCACCTCCCTTCTCCGTGGCCCCTCCACCTCCTCCCTTCCCAGGCCACTCCAGCTCTCTGGCATGAACCTGGGGGCCGGAAGGCTCCCTGAAAGCCTCTGGAGTCCTGGAGGGAGATGACCCCTCAGTGAGGTGTTTTCAGGGCCCTTCACTAATCAGAAGGCCATGAGGGAAGGTGACCAGTAAGAACTAGAGAGTCTCTGCAGGGCACCCTGCGCTCCCAGCCTCTCAGCTCCTGCTTGGTATCGGAGGGGCTGGCTGTGATACTGTGAGCTCCAGGGGAGTATGAAAGGGAGGACCCACAGGCCACCTGTAGCCCAGGGAATCCTGCATGTTCTCTGCTTATTCATTAACTTTTCAGCTTGCAAAAAGTAAACTTCGGAATTACAGAAAAGTTGTAAGAATAGTCCCATTAACTGCCACCCTCCCATCGCCCAGATTCACCAGTCGTTAACATTTTCTCACACGTGCTTTGCAGTGACCTCTCCTCTCCTCCCACCTTCTTCTCCTTCCTATTATTGCTGTTCTGCTTTTGTGAGGTTGGTGACTCTGGGAATCGGGCCCAGCACTTGGTTTCCTGGGTGTTTGCTCAACCTTTCTGGGTCAGTAGGCAGGTGTGTGTGGGGGGAGGCAGGCCTGGGGGTGGAGGGGTGAGGTCCCAGGGCGTGCAGCCCTGCTGTCTGCCCAGCCCACCCATCACTAGGTCCCCAGGTGACCGGAGCCTGGCAGTGAGGGGAAATGAAAGTTGAAAGTTGTGTGTCCTGGTCTCTGGGGCACCCAACAGGCATTCTAAGGGCGGCTGTGAGGGTGAATCGGGTGCTTACGGGGCGGTCTGTGAGTGTGAAGGGCTGCCCTGGGAAACTAGCATGACAGGTATTTTCTGGGCATGTTGTACCTGGTGTTTAGGGACCAGAAGCAGAGACCTGGGAGCAGACAGAGGAGAGAAGCTGAACTTGTACAGAGGAACCCAGGCCTGGCAGGTGCGGCGTGGACGCCCAGGGCCAGGAAGTCTCATCGGGCTCCTCTCCTGTATCTTCAGTGGCTTCTGAATAGATGCCAGACCACAGCCAAACCAGACTTGCCCCCTGGACCTGGCTGTATCCACATGATTCCAGGGAGCCTGGAGTCCTTGGCTCAGAAGGGACCCTGGAGGTCACCTGATCTTTCTTCTGACTCCAGTCAAGCGAATGGTTAAATTGGACAGGACAGTTGGATTCATCCTATTTTAAAATATCCTTGGAGATAGGGACTGTGTGCTCTGCCTCTGTCTGGGTTTCTGACTCCAGTGCTGCTTAATTATGCACTCTGCAGGGAGCACCTCCTCATGTCCAACCTGAATCCCTGGCTGTCCCTGTGGCCCATTGCCTTCCATTCTGCCCACTGGGGCCACACTGCCTCTTGTCTTCCCTGTTCTCCACTCCCCCAGGCCAGCTTATTTCCTAGGCTGGGACCATTAGTATCATTGGCCTTTGCAGATGCTGCATCTTAATGACCCAGATCAACGGCAGAGGTGCCACCTGAGCTCCACTCCCAAGCCTGGTCTGGTGGAAAGAGATCAGGCTGAGTCAGGGCCATGGCATGTTCCACATGGCACCCAAAAGGAGGTGAGTCTGCCCTTGAGTGCCTCCAAGGTTGCTTAGTCTCCGAGAGTCCTGTGCAGTGACAGTGCCCAGGCAGAAGGGCGCCCAGAGGAGCAGCCCTGTGTGTTTACTGGATCAGTCAGACACATTTAAGGACTATCTGGTTTATGCCATGTGCTGTGCCGCATGCTGAGAGCCGTCAGTGACTAAATTGCAGTTCCTGCCTTCATGAAGCTCTGTCACAAGGCAGAAACAAGTTAAAAAAAAAAAAACAAAAAATAGGGATGCTTTGGCCAAGCGCCGTGGCTCACACCTGTAATCCCAGCAGTTTGGGAGGCCGAGGCGGGGGTATCACGAGATCGAGATTGAGATCAGGAGATGGAGACCATCCTGGCTAACATGGTGAAACCCCGTCTCTACTAAAAATACAAAAAAAAAAAAAAAATTAGCCGGGCGCGGTGGCGGGTGCCTGTAGTCACAGCTACTCGGGAGCCTGAGGCAGGAGAATGGCGTGAACCCAGGAGGGAGAGCTTGCAGTGAGCCGAGATCATGCCACTGTGCTCCAGCCTGGGCGACAGAGTGAGACTCCGTCTCAAAACAAAAACAAAAACACACACACACACACAAAACAAAAAAAACCAAACAGTGATGCTTTTATCCATATTGTGAGCAAGAGACACACAGGGGCCATGAGCATGTGTGATCCCGGATGCTCACTGGACCGGGCTGGGGCCCAGACATCCTGACCCACCCAGGTGAACCAGTTTGATGGGCACAAGACTAGAACGGAGGTTCTGATCTTGCTGCTTCTCCTGGTTGTTCTTTTTTTTTTTTTTTTTTCTCCTGAGCCTTTCCCACGTTCGGAGTGTGGGATAAACAGGCTATTCAAGCAGAAGGCGTGAGTCCTGCTTCCTCCAGTGGAAGAGGGCATGTGCATGCACAGAGGATAGGAAGGGTCCACCCGGCCACCAGGCAGCCGGGTGCTTCCCCCGGGAAGGGAAGAAGGCTACTGGACACGCAATGTGGACCAGGCACACACTGCGGCCATGCTAAGGACCCTAAGTGACATCCCACCTGAGAGGCATAGGGGTGGGGGCCAGTGGCCAGGCCAGGCCTCCTCAGCAGTGACTCTCACCTGTACTGGGTGACAGCTGGGTTGGCCTTTGCAGAGCAGTGGAAAGTCACGACGTTGTCCTCCAGCACTGGCTGTGGCTCCACCGAGAGGTTGACCAGTGGGGGGTCTGCAGGGAGAGGGCAGTCACTTGTAGACCCAAGAAAGAATGGGGGCAGGAAGATCCTGGTGACTTGGAGGGTAGAGCCAGAGACTCCACCACCCAGGAACCCTCAGAGCAGCCACCACCCTGGTGGTCTCCAGGAAGTTGGGGGCTCCATGGGAGGTGCCTGCTTCAGACAGTCCTGGAAGTGGGATCAGGGCTCCCCCGTGGACTTGGGGCCTGGTGTTGACACGAACCCCAAGCCAGGAAGCCTCAGCCTTGGGTCCAGGGGTTTCCCATCCTCCAACTTTCGGGCAGAACAAAATACTCCAGGAAGGAGAAATGGGAAGAGGGGTGCAGGGCAGAGAGGGGCGGGTGGACACTCAGCCTCACTTCAGTGCAAACTGTCTTTGAAATGTCTGTTTATTATCTCTTTTCCGTAAAGGTTCTGGGGCATTTGTTAACTTGAAAGCGGCATTTATACCCTTTCATCAGCCTAATCATCTCCACTCAGTCCTGGCTGGTGGCCCACGGCCTCAGCTCCCCAGGCTGGGGCTTGCTTTCTCATTTGACGTGATAAGAAGCCAGGCTCTGAAGTGCTAAATGGTGGGAGGGGGAGGAGACAGAAAGTCAGAGAGAGAAAAAGTCAGGGAGGCAGGAGCCAGAGACACAGAGACACACAGAGATCTGTATAGAAGGGGCCGGAGGCTGACAGTGAGACATGTACACAGAGGAGAGACATGGAGACCACAGAGGAAGAGAGATTATGTGTGTGTGTGTGTATATGTGTGTGCATGTGTGTGTATATGTGTGTATGCATGCGTGTGTGTGTGTTGTGTGTAGAGAGAGAGAGAGAAAGAGAGACAAAGATGAGGAAGTGACAGGGACAGAGAGAGACATAGGCCGAGAGACAGAAAGACACACACATAGAAATTGAGAAGTGCAGAGAAAGGGTGAGAAAAAGAGACAGAAATCTAGAGAAGCAGAGAGCAGAGTGACGGAGACAGAAATCTAGAGAAGCAGAGAGCAGAGTGACGGAGACAGAAATCTAGAGAAGCAGAGAGCAGAGTGACGGAGACAGAAATCTAGAGAAGCAGAGAGCAGAGTGACGGAGACAGAAATCTAGAGAAGCAGAAGCAAGAGAAGAAACAGAAAAGAGAAAAAGAAAAAAGAAAAGAGAGAGAGTGACGGAGAAGAAATTAGAGAAGCAGAGAGCAGAGTGACGGAGACAGAAATCTAGAGAACAGAGACAGAGTGAGGAGACAGAAATCAGAGAAGCAGAGAGAGAGGACAGAAGAAACAGAGAGCAGAGGAGAGACAGAAATCTAGAGAAGCAGAGAGCAGAGTGACGGAGACAGAAATCTAGAGAAGCAGAGAGCAGAGTGACGGAGACAGAAATCTAGAGAAGCAGAGAGCAGAGCAGAGTGACGGAGACAGAAATCTAGAGAAGCAGAGAGCAGAGTGACGGAGACAGAAATCTAGAGAAGCAGAGAGCAGAGTGACGGAGACAGAAATCTAGAGAAGCAGAGAGCAGAGTGACGGAGACAGAAATCTAGAGAAGCAGAGAGCAGAGTGACGGAGACAGAAATCTAGAGAAGCAGAGAGCAGAGTGACGGAGAGACAGAGAGACTGACCTGTTTGCAGAGACTGTGAATCAGACAAGGATTTCAGACCAAAAGCAGAAAAGGCCACAGAGACCCAGCACACAGGGCCGGACAATGATGGTGTCAGAGAGAAAGACCAAGTGAAACAACGAGGAAAAGGAGGAGCAGACACTGCAGGATAGAAAGATGGAAACAGCTCGAGAGGGCTGCAGTAGAGAGGCAGAGAGGTGGGAATGGCTTCCGTCAGCCTGTCCCTGCCCAGCTCAGGGGCAGCTGGCTCTGGACCCTCTCCAGAGGCTGGTGTCACCTGGGCTCCTGGTGGCCCCCAGGCCTCAGCACCCCTGGGGCATCCACACACCGAGGGAGGGGGGGATGATGGGCCAGTTCCCATCCTTCTTCCCTGTCACGGCCCAGATGTCTGGCTGAGTTGAGTGGGCAGCCCAGGACCTGGTCCCCATGGACAGGCTGGGCCCTGGGCCGCATCTTCTGGGTCAGTCCCCACCAACAAGCAGAGCAAATTGCAGGAAAGTCACGAGGACTTCTAGGGGTCCAGCCCATTTCCAGAAGAAGAAGTAAAGAAGCCAGTTTCTCAGAGGCAATGAGGAAAAATGCTGGTCTCTCTGGGTCCCCATGGGGGCATCACAAAGGGACCAGCTGGCCCAGTTGGTCTGGGCTCTGGTTGGAACTACGGTGGGGTCCTGACACCCTCAGAGAGTCATACACTCAGCCTCTCAGCTGCAGACCGAGCCGGCCTTACCCTGGAGCTGGGATCACATAACTGCTCAGCCGCCCTCTGCCTGCTGGTGCCCAAGAGTGCCAGGCACAGGAGCTGGCCTGGGAGATGGCCCCAGGGGCTGCACTGGTATCTGCCGGCACTGGGAAGAGAGCTCTGTTTTCTGAGTAGCAGGTGGCCGACTGTGCCGGGGAGCCTGTTCTCCCACATTTTCCCCAGTTCCGGACGGGGGACCACAAATCCAGGACACGTCTGCTCCTGGTGCGGCCGGCCTGCCTGCCTTTCGTGGGGAGTTACAAGGGAAGTGAGGATATTTCTGTGATCTCGATCCCAGTTTTAAGGCATAATTTGAGTGGTCACAAAGATGGGGTGACAGGGAATAGCCACAAGAACTCTCCTCCCACCCCGACAACCCCCGGCCTCTCTTCGAAGCTGCACCCTAGCTTCCAGGGCAAGGCTGAATCAGGAGCCCCAGCCCTCTTTCCGTGCAAGACTGACTGGCTGAGCTGGGCGTCCGTGGGACCCTACGTAGCGAACATGACACCCAGGGAGGAGCCTGCAGTTCGCCATGGGCTGGAGAAGCAGCGGAGGCAGAGGCACCTGGGAACTGCCACCTGGATCCAAACGCATGGCCGGCCCATGCCCTCGCATTATGAAGGCCAATGCTGGGAGGTGAGTACCTACCCCAAGTCTGGTTTGAAGAGGTGAGTGCCAGTCCCATAGACTCGAGGGACCTGTCAGAGAACTTGGGGGGCTGTTCCAGGAGGCCCTTCCCTCACCTGGGGGTCCTTTCTAAAGTGAGGAGGTCTGAGAGGCAGGGAGGTGGGGCACACACCTGCTGTAGGACCTTCCTGCTGCCCGATGCCTTGTCACACCCCTGCCATGATCAGCTCACCGTGAGGCCTCTCTCCTGCACTTTCCCTTCCTCTTAGCATCGTCTTTGGTGATCACCTGCCCTGAAGCGATTCACAAGGGTTCCACACTCACTGGCCTTATCTGCACCTCCACCCCAAGACCAGAGGTGCCCAAGCTTCTCTCTCCACTTCTGCTGGTGTACAGAATATAAATTTTCAGGAGTCTGCCAAGCTCCAGAGGTATAAATAGTTTATGTCATATCCAACTATTAAACATGATTTTAATCCCACTTGTGATGTCGGCAGCATAACTTGCAGGAGGGCAGCTTTGATGTAGCTGGTGGAACTGAGATCACATTGAACAGATGTTACAGCTGAGAGTCTGTTAGTGTTTCTATCCACCCGTGTGTGCGTGTGTGTGTGTGTTTTCAGAGGAAGTAGTACACGGAGGAGAGGGTGGGAAAAGAGAATCTTCATGACTCAGTGATTTTATAGCACATTCATTTGAAACTTGGCAGCTGGACACAGAGTCCAGATGTGGTGAGGCTTTGGGGGTGTTAAGCTTTCTTTCCCATTACTCAATCTGAGGGCTTTGTCTTGCGTTGGGTAACATATGAAGACCAAGAGAAACAAACAACAAATGTGCTTTTGCTGAGTTTGGATGCTTCTTGGTCGACGGAGAAAATGAGCAGGTTCGCAAAGGCAGCTCTGATGCAGCCCATGGTGTCCTTAGTAAACAGTTGGATGTTGACTGAATGAACAAATGAATAAATGGAGGAGGAGCTGAAGCAGGAGGAGGGGGAAGGAGGGAGGGAGCGGGTGGACAATGTGTGCTTTGCTTGGCAAGCACATAGAAGCACCTTCAGGCTAGGGGTGGTGAGTGCGGGGACACATGGATGAAGATCCCTTCCTGTTAGGGCTGTGGGGACACCTGATGAGGGTCGCCACTCACCTCTGGCTCTGTGTCCTGACAGCAGCTGATAGGTGTGGGGCATTCACAATGTGTCGGACACTGCGCTAGGGGCTTGACAGGAAGGATTTCATTTAATCCTCCCTGCAACCTTAGGAGGTGAGCATGATTACTTCCATGTACAGAGGAGGAAACCGGGGCACAAGGAGGTTAACTAACCGGGTCAGTGCCTCTCAGTAAGTGGCAGAGAGTTCAAAGCAGGAAGAATGCTGTGGCCTTCACCACTATTACCACTATTACTGGTAGTACTACTACCCAGTACTGCCTTGGATGAGGCTGGTCTGGGAAACTGGGCTGCTGGGCTCCAAGTGTCACTCTGACCTCATTCCAGTGCCTCCAAAGGTGGCTGAGAGATCCTTGGAAAGGAAGCCAGAAAGGGCCCAGAGGCCTGGCAAGACCCAGTGTCCTCCCGGATGCAGACTGTCACCTGTGCCCTGGTGAACAATCCTCTGTGGGCCTGAGTGCAGAAGGCCGGGCGGGCTGTGGTTAGGAGGGTGAGTTTCCCGCTGCCTGGAGAGGTTCTCCTGGGGTAAACGGATGGTGGCCTGGAGCAGGAAACACCGCTTCTTCCCACTTCTCCCCGCCAGGACCTACGCTGCTGTCGCAGGGGGCCAGCTAGATTGTCGCTTTTGTACAGGAGTCTGTAACATTTTGTACAGGCCTCCTGACCAGGTTGGGCATGGGCTGGGGAAGAAGGGAGCGGGGTGGTGGTGGCGGTGAATCGAATGGCAGCCTGGAAGTAGGGAGCCTGGATGCTCGGTGTCTCCCGCCCTCTCCCCTTCCTGATTTGGATTGCATCTGGACAGAGAGCTCTGATCCATGGCCAGTCCTAGGGCAAGAAGGGGCCTTGGATGTCATTTGGCCAAATCAGAGAAGGAATCAGAGTCCCCAGGGGTGATGTGAGAGGCGTGGGCCCAGCCCGCCCGTGGGTGGTGGAGCCGTCCTGGACGCTGGACTGCTGGCCTCGCAGCATCTCACCTCTTCCAGCAGTGGGGCTTACCGCTCCATGCCGACTGCTCACCACACAGGGGGAGGTGGTGCTCAGACCCAGGACCCAGGTCAGGGCCAGGGCCAGTGGTGGGAAGAGCCGAGGGACAGAGATTAAGCAGGCCTTGCCTCCTTAATTTTCAGGGCCAGCCTTCCTTGCATTTTGTGCCCTGGGGCCTCGTTCCATCACCGTAGCTCTAGGCTTGGCCAGAGCTCTGCTGCCCTGGATCCTTGTGAATGAGGACTGCAAGAAGGCTCCTTGGTCCAGGGGTGTGTCAGGGGTCGTGGGGGGGACAGGGATATTTGTTAATAGCTGGTGGCAAGACAGTGAAGATAAAGTGCCCTCCTGCCTCAAGAACTCAGCCTTTGTGTGTGGGTGCCTTGAGCCTACCTGAGGTTTTCAACCCTTTCTTCTGCCCTCTGGAATCTAAATGGTGTCTGTCGGGATTCTAGACACTGGCTGGGAACTTCTGTTCTCTAGCTGCCAAGATGAGCTCTCAGAACCCTAAGACCTGAACCCCATCTCTGGACTCTAGGTCCTTGGAGAGCCACTCAGAGCCTAGAATCCAGAAGGCTTAGATGAATCAGGGCTGTTAGGAAGTGTTTTTAAATGCACTTGCCTTAAAATGAATAAAAGGCTAAGGAGGACACGAATGCCAGCCTGCAGCTCCAGCCTTGTAATTCAGAGACCAAGCCAGAAGCAGCCACCAGCTTGCGGTGGCATTACGCTTGGCGGCAGGGAGGGGATCTCGAAGGAGAGAAGTCCACTTTTGAGTCCCGACCCTTTAAACTGAACTAATCCAGTCCTGAGAGGAAGGCCACTGGAACACCTTGCTGAGCTCTTCTTGGTTCTGGGGCTGGCGGGCACCTTAGGGAGACTTTTAGGAGACCTTCAGGGGTCTCTGTTGGGTGGTTTTGGGATGCGATGCTGGTGGAACCCTAAAGCATCATAATTGTCAATATCAATCCTAACACGGTCCACTGAGGGCTGGCTGTGCAGGAGTGTGGAGAGGACGTTACCAGGCTGGGCTCTGGAAAGCTATGCTGCCTGCATTTGAAACATAAGTGGCCTTGGGCAAGTTAATCACCCTTTTGGTGCCTCAGTTTCCCACAGTAGGGACCACAGTCACACCTTCTCCAAACAGTTGTTGAAAAGATTAAATAAGGCCGGGCGTGGTGGCTTACACCTGTAATCCCAGTACTTTGGGAGTCCAAGGCAGGAAGATCACTTGAGGTAAGGAGTTCGAGACCAGCTTAACAGGGTGAAACCCTATCTCTACTAAAGATACAAAAACTAGCTGGGTGTAGTGATGGATGCCTGTAATCCCAGCTATTCAGGAGGCTGAGGCAGGAGAATCGCTTGAGCCTTGGCAGCGGAGGTTGCAGTGAGCTGAGATTGCTCCACTACACTCCAGCCTGGGCAACAGAGCGAGACTCTTGTCTCAAAAGAATAAAACAAAAGATTAAATGAGATAATACATGTAGATTTCCTTCCTCATATCCCTTGATCGACCCTTCCATGAGAGTGGCCGGTGCACCCACTCCAGAGCACAGCGACGCTTGCCGATTCTGGAGCCTGAGGACCCTTCAAATATCAGCATCTCCACTCAGACTTCCTCTCCAACAGAGGGGCCACCGGCTAGGCCAGCAGGGGCAGCAGCTGACCGTATTTATTGGTGTGAAAGTCCCACCTTGTACAGGTGTTGAAATGTGGCCTGAAGATGTCCTTTGCAAAAGACCCTCATCTGTGAGGTTGCATCTCATGACAGTAAGGAAGACAAGATGGTCCTTCCTGTCCATACCTACAAGCTGGCCGATCCACAGAGCTGCCTGACCCATTGCCTGCCATCAGATGGGCCAGGCTATAAGCAGGGTTGCTGGGTGTTTCACCCCGGGCCTGGCAGGGCTGGGTTGGGGGAGGGGGTGGGTACTCACGCTGGATGTCAATGGTGACCGACGTCTCCTTTCCTCCGGGGATGGCTTTGTTGGTGGCACGGCACACGATGCTCTGGCCGTTTTCCACGTCACCAGGGGAAATGAAGAGGGTGCTGACGATGCTCTCCCGCTTGCCGTCCCGAAGCAGAGTCTTGGGAGAAGGGGAGAGGGGAGAGAAAGCTCCATGTCATTTGGCTGGGGTGGCCAGCCTGGGTTGGGGGTGAACAAGCACTAGCTTAGACAGAAGGGGGAGCTGAGGATGGAGGGGTTCAGCTCAGGAGACCCGGTCTGCCAATGTCTATGTAGAGCTCGGGGGTTACCCTTGGCTCCCTGGCCTGGGTAAGTGCTGGGCTGTGGAAGGAAAAAGGAACTAGCCAGTTTTCCATCGTGTGAAAATTAGCCTGGATTCACATGCTAAAAGCACAAAATAAACCAGGATGGGCTTCTTGGAAACCAGGCTTCAGGGGGATCCCATGTTGAAATGAACTCTCATTTGTTTTGCCTCTGGTGCCTGAGTGAGTCTCAGGCTCTGTAGGACACAAGGAGATGGTTTGCAACCAGCAGGGACTGTGGCCCCTGAGCAGGGACAGTCTGCAGAGGGGGCACAGTTTGGGGAATGGGAGTCAGAGTGGGTGGGGACATGGGCAGAATCAGTGCACATCAACTTTTTGATTATTTGCCTATGTAAATCCTTTCAACTTTCCAAAGCATTTCACTCCCTGATCTCATTAGAGCCTCAATCAAACCACAGGTGGGACAGACACCATCATCTCCCATTCGATAGGGGAGAAAATAGGTGGGTTAGACAGAGGCTGTGGAGCTTGACCAAACTTACACTTCGAGTTGGTCCTGAAATAAGTACTAGGCTCTTACAGGAGGTTGAATGGTGTCATCTCCAAATTATTTTCTACCTGGAATCTCAGAAAATGACCTTATTTAGGAATAGGGTCCTTGCAGTTTAGTCAAGCAATTAGTAATTAGTTAAGGCTCTTGCGATGAGGTCATACTGGATTCAGAGTGAGCCTTAAACCCAATGACTGGTGTCCTTGGAAGAAGAGAAGACAGTCTGTGGGGCATGGAGGCTCATGCCTGTAATCCCAGCACTTTGGGAGGCTGAGGTGGGAGGATTGCTTGAGCCTAGGACTTGGAGACCAGCCTGGGCAACATAGGAAGACCATGTCTCTACAAAAGGAAAAAAAAAAAGAAAAGAAAAAAATTAAAAAAAATTTAGCTAGGCGTGGTGGCTCGTGCCTGTAGTCCCAGCTACTTGGGAGGCTAAGGTGAGAGGATCACCTTGATCCCTGCAGGTTGAGGCTGCAGTGAGCCGAGGTTGTGCCACTGTACTCCAGCTAGGGCCACAGAGTGAGACCCTGCCTCAGAAGAAGAAAAAGGAGAAGGAGAAAGAGAAAGAGAAAGAGAAGGAGAAAGAGAAGAGGAGGAGGAGAAGAGGGGAATGAGGAGAAGACAGAGAGACAGAGAGACACAGAGAAGGCCAGGTGAAGTTGGAGGCAGAGATTGGAGGGATGCTGCCACAAGCCAAGCAATGCCAGGAGCCACCAGGAGCTGGAAGAGGCAAGGACAGATTTTTGCCTGGAGCCTTTGGAGGGGCATAGCCCTGCTGCCACCGTGATTCCAGACTTGTTGGCTTCTACAACTGTGCGATAATTGATTTCCGTTGTGTTAAGCACCGAATTGTGGTGCTTTGTAATGGCAGCCCTGGGAAGCAAACCCATCTTAACTGCTGGTCTCCCATCTTCCCAGGTCATTGCTTTACTCTACTGGGCCACAATGTCATTCCGAAGCTACTTCCCCATTGTGGCTGCTACCTCCTTCCCTCTCCTGTTCCTCTTTGCAGCTACTTCCCCATCACTTTGGGGCCCACTAAGTCAGGTGCACCCCGGGGAGGGCGTGCTGAGTGTGGGGGGTGCACTTGCAGATTGAGATTGGAGTCTGGTCAGTATGCAAAGGCTTCTGGTACTAGGAGGTACCAGGAAGGGGCTTCACTACGGGTGCAGTCCTGTTTCCCCCTGACTGGAGCCAGGGAGTAGATGAACAGACCACTCCTCCCTCAAAACCTCCCATAAAGTGACCATGGCAGTGTCTCTAATTCTTATGAGGGCCCGGAAGAGAGCAGCATTATCTTTGATTAGCCAAAGAGAAACTTGCTGGGTGGAGCTAGGATTTGCACTTAAGAATGGGTGAACCCTGAGCCACAGCCTCTGCCGCAGCTCCCGGGGTGCTGGAGGGTGGGTACCGTGCTCTTGGCAGGACAGGTGGGAACAGTTAGGGCCACAGGGAGAAACCTGTAGGTGCCTGGAACCCCACCTTCTGGGTCCTTAATTCAGTGCAGTTTTTCTCAATGTGGGGCAAACCTCATGGCCTCAGGAGAACAGGGCCAGAGCCTCTATCTAGAACAGCACATCTTGCTGGAGGCAAAGCCAGACTGTGACATTCTAGAGAGCCACGCGGTACAGCTGCAGGCCTGGGACTCAGGGTGCCAGCCACGGCCCTGGGCAGAGGGGCTGGAGGAGAGTGATGTGGCCAGATGCAGCAAGCCGGGGGCAGGACCAGTGGCACAGCAGGTGAGAGCCTTCGATCTGTCCCGGGGCTGGCAAAATCGGGCAGAGGAGTGAAGTTGAACCCCAAGCCTAAGCCCGGGCGGTGAGGAAGCAGCAGCCGGCACCGCTTTACCACCCTGGCTTGGGCTCCTCAGCAGACCTCACCGAGTCTATAAATAGCCAAGTGATAATAAGAACAATTTCCTGGCTGAAACTAAGACTTTGGGTAGGGTGAGCAGAGGCGGGAGGTGGTGAAGAGCGGGTCGGTATTGTTCTCTTCTCCTCTACTGTTCCGTTGTGCTAACAAGGGACATTTACATAAGCTTGACTCTGCCAGGAAAGCTTCCAATGGATGGGCTCTGGGAGGTGGGTGCCAGCGGGAGGGGAGTGAGGGGCCCCAGCTCTAATTAGGCCCTCTGACTGCTCTCCCTCCTCCCTGCACCCAGTGTGCTCCTCCGCCGCGGAATGATGATTAATGACATATTTACTGGGTACGGGCGTGTGCTTTTCTGGGAAATAAAAATTCTGGTTCAAGTGTTTGTTCCACCTAATTAGAGAAAAAGGGAGATGTGTTCATTAAACAAAAGGAGGGTGAGGCGAAGGCGCGTGCCCCAGCACCAGCACCCTCTCTGTCCCCGTGGAAGGCCCCAGCACCTCCTGGGCCCCCAGCTTGCCGGGGACCCCAGACCCCATGTGGCAGGCGTCCCAGGGAGGAAGGCTGGGTCTGCCAGCTCTGCTACAGTATGACTGAGGGGAGGAAGGTGGGACAGAGCCAGGGGGCCAAGGGGGAAGGCTGGAGGGAGCCCTGCATCTGAAAGGCAGGGCGGGATGCTGAGGGTGCAGGGGGTCTGCACCCTCTGGTTTCTCTTCCCCTCATTCCTTTCTGATCTCACCTCTCGTTTCTTGTTTCTTTGTTTCATTACTTTTCAGAAATGAATCTCCCCTAGTCGTCACTTTTCTCATACACAAATGGAGCCTCTGGACTTTGCAGTCTTGAAGGTACTGTCCAGGTGAACATTCTATCATCCACAGGTTCTAGCCGCAGCTCTGCTCTGCCCCTCCCTTCTCTGCTTCCCTTCACCGAGCTTGGCTCTGGGGACACGCCATGGGCACTGAGCCCCCCACCTCCTGCTTCAGGCAGTTTCATGGGTTGCAGGTGAGCTCCGGAAGGAAGTGAATTATTCATGGTGGACCACTCGCTTTGGGGGCCACCGCCTCCAAGGCCTCCCTCCAGTGTGGTGAGCACTAATGTGCTGCCAGTCCCCGGGTCACCCAGTCACCATGTGACTGCCATGGTGGCTCCTGAGGGTCCCCGAGGACCCAGCCCCTGTGTGTGCAGATAGGGACCAGGGCCAGGCGTATAGACGGTGTGTGTCCAGGAATGAGCGTGCTGGGGCACACACCCCCATGGGTATGTGTGCGTACCTGTTTTTGTCTGTGGGTGTTCATGGGCCTCTGTCCACTGACGGCTGTGACTGTGCAGGGCCCCAGGTTCTCTCTGGACGCTGCTTGCTCAGATGTTGCCTCAGGGCTGTGCACACACCCTCACTGCCCCTCCCTAAGGGCAGGGATTTGGCATTCACCTCTCTAGTTTCCCAGCGCTGGCCTGGGAGGCTGGTCTTCCCAGGTGTGGTGGTACACAGGGTACCCCACCCCGTGGTTTTCCTGCTTGGGTGGCAGTGGCTGGCCACTCTGCTCTTTCCAAAGCCCCCAGGGCCTCCGCTGGTCAGTGGAGAGCCAGGCCGAGCCCTCAGAGATGGGCGGGCTGGAGGGCAGGCAGGGAGTGGGGACCCAAGCACTGGTGCTCAGTGTGGGATGCTCAGTGATATGCAAACAGTCTGGAAAGGCCGAGAGCAGGCCTGATCGCCTGGCAACAAGGCCGCCTCGCTTCTCCCCCCTACTCACCTTCCCCACCTGCTGGGTCCCCTTTAAAAAAAAATCATCACTCTGCTTCCCCTTTTGATAGCTGCTTGGGGCTCCATGTGGGCTGGTTGCCACCTGGATTGAATAAGGGTGTGTGGGCCAGGTGCAAGATGCACAGTGCTATTTGCCGCAGTCCCTGCATCCAGCCTTGAGGCCAGAGGCCAGAGGGGTGCCCTTCACAGAGAAGGCCAGGATGAGCCTCGGCCACACCCAGTAGACTCTTGGCCCCTAAGCTGGGCAGATAGGTGGAGGATGATGGGATGAGTGATCAGGGAAGGGGTGCCCAGTGGAGGGGGAGGGCCTGTGCATGTGGACACTTATCCCTTTCCTGAGTGGGGTGTCCAGAGCTCCTCTTAGCAAAGGTGGTAAAAGGCGAGGCCAGTGGTCCTGGTGGTAGGGGTAGAGGGCAGGGCAAGGGGCTCCAAGTAGACACGGACACGACTGTGCGTGGTAAGACCACGCAACCCTCTTGCCTGGCAGGAAGCTGCTCTTAGGAAGGGTTCTCTCCGGGCTCAGCCTGTCCTCTCACTGTTCCGTAACCCATCCTTCCTCCCCGGCTGTGTGGACTTGTGGGCTTTCCAGAAGAAAGAATGTGGCCTCCACTCTGGTGCTGGGCCCTCAGAAGTACGAGGAACAGGGGAGGAACCCACTGTCCCCAGATGGCTCAGGGTTGAGTCTCCAGGAAGAAGCTTGGAGGGGCCTTTCCCTGCTCCGTGCCTCTGCTGCTGACACCCCCGGGAGCCTACAGTGGGTACTGCCCAAGGCCCCATCCGGCAGTGTGGCTCACCCGGCACGCTGGGGGCTGTGACAGTGGCCTGTTAAGGAGAAGCATGGCCAGTCTGTGCTGGGGGAGGGGCTGAGTGCTTCCTCTGCTGCCCTTCCTCCTGGCGAAGGGGCCAGGTGCCCTCCAGGGATGAGGCTCATCCCTCCCCTACTGGTCCCATGGTGGAGTCACAGAGAGGATGGTTGGTGAGCAACCCAGAAACTTTGAGAACAGGCCTGGTATTTTATGAAATAGCTGTATGACCCCTGGGGCGGGGGACTGGGGTTCCCCCTGTAGGACAGGAGCCAATAATAGTAGCTCACATTTATCCAGCCCTTACTCCTGCCCTTCACAGGGTACTTCCGATACATAATTTCTTGTAAGTCACTCTGTAACCCTGATAGACATCTGTGATCATTACCATTGCATTTTGTAGCTGGGGAAACTGAGGCAGAGGGTGACTCACCATGTTATGTTATGGATCCTAGGTTTGAGCCGGGCCTTCAGAACCATGTGGCCATCCTAACTATGACACTGATGTCAGCATACGGGAAACACAAGGTCCACAGCAGGGTGGACCTTGCAGCTGTGTGGATCCAGTGAGGGAGTGACAATCCCAACAGCCATGCTTGTTGCAAGCTCGCTCTGTGCCAGGCGTGTTTCTCATTCAGTCCTCACAAGCACCCCTTGAAGCGGGTGCTGCTGTCCTTCCCACTGTATGGCAAGGACAGGGAGGCACGGCAAGGTTAGGTCACACAGCTGGAAAGTGGCAGAGCCCGGATCCGAACTCAGGCTGCCGGCTCCTGAGCCCTAATCATCCACCATGTGGACAGCCACTGAGGGCGTCAGACCCGACAGCAGCCAGGGCTGCCCTGTGGGGTCTTTTCTGGGGTTCTTGGAGGCTGCTTGATTTTGTGTGTGCTCCCAGCTTCTCTCTCTCTCTGCGGCTGATGCTCCGGCCCCTCCTCATACGTAGCCTCTCTGGGGAAGTCAGGAGTGCTGCTGGCCTATGGCAGGGCTCCTTGCAGCCCTGGGGGATGAGGAGGTAGGCTGGGCCCCTGGGAGGGGAAGCAGAGGGGTTGGCTTGGACAGCCCCTAGAGCCTGATCCATAGGAGCCCCGGACTGTGCACCCTGCTGGGTGTACTCCACGTCACAGGCTTGTAGCTTCTCCATGCCCAGCACAGAGCCCTGTGCCCGGGGAAGCTCCACTGACGTGTGCTGGCTCTGCTGGTCACCCCTTTGGTCTCCGTGAGAACCACTGGGCATAGGGTGGACAGGTGCATAGGATGGTGGATGACCATGGTTTGGAGGAGAGGCCCAGAGAAATGAAGTGCCTTGCCTCGGGACACAGGGCCTCTTCCCATGCTCATGTCTAGGGACACATTGAGGGTCTCAGGCCTCTGCTGCTCCCTGGACAAGCCAAAGAGGGGCAGGAGACCATCTGAGGTGACTGTCCCCCGAGGAATCTGTTTCCCTTCCGGAGTGTCTGATCCAATACCTTCATTTTGCAGATGAGGAAACAGAGGCCAAGGGAGGGGGCTGTCTGAAGTTATGCAGTGGAACCTGGAACCCAGGCCTGGGGCTGCCTGGCGCTGCTGTTGACGTCACAGGCCCAGGAGCATGGACGGGGTCCCCCGCCCTGCTGTGCAGAAGCACGGCACCAGGCTCTCCGAGGGGCCTTCATGATGTAGACAAGGACGACATGCTGAGCTCAAGGTGATCCCGGGACAGGTCCAGCAGAGTGACCCTGACCTCTCTCTCCACCTGATGGCGTGTGTCCTCTGCAGGACATTGACCCTGCCAGGGCCAGGCTGGCCTATCTTCAGGGAGGGATGGGACAGGCGCTCAGACTGGAAGGAAAGCCCCTGTCCTTCCTTTTCTTCTCCTCTGGACAACCCTCTCTCTGTGTCTTATCCTTGTATTATATAACACGACACGGTGGCTCCAGCCCAGGACAGAAGGGAGGGGTTTGTCTTCCAAGAGGCGGCCACCTCATCCCTGGACTTGTGTCTGAGGGCAGGAGTTTGCCCTGGGTTCTGGAACCAGGTGCTGGGTGCTTGATCAGCAGCCCTGGAGTGACTTCTTGGCAGGTGGTCAGTTTGGGACAGGAAGGACAGACCCTCAGAGCAGGGACGGGCCTGTCTCACATCCTCCTCGGATGGCCAAGGTGCTGGTTATCTTTCCAGGACTGCTGAGAGGACCGGTGGGTCGCTGGGACCAGGCCGTGTACCTCCCCAGTCTCTGAGTCTAAGGAAAACCTCAGAGCTGGGGCGAGAAGGCGTTCTGGAGGCTGGGCCCCCAGTTGCAGAGCTTGGGGTCGGCTTGCCCTGGGAGGAGCATGGGCAAGGGCAGAGGCCGGGGCATCAGGAGATTGTGGTTCCAGGCCTGGCATTGCCCACTCCACCACTGAGAAGGACAGCCACTTCCCCACTAGGCCTCAATTTTCTAGCTGCAGACAAAAGAGGTTGGCCCAGCTATCCTGTAAGGCCTCGTTCATCTTAAAGTCTCTGCAGTACATTAACCCCATCTGGGACTCTATGCAGTTTTGTTCAGTGGAGTTTGGTGGGGGCTGTTTAAAAAGGTATCTGAAATTTTGTCTTTATTCAGGTAGAGGGAGACCAACAGATCAGGAGACAACTGCTGTTGAAAAGACAGTTTGCGGCTGGGCACGGTGGCTCACTCCTGTAATCCCAGCACTTTGGGAGGCAGAGGCAGGCGGATCACCTGAGGTTGGGAGACCAGCCTAACCAACATGGAGTAACCCTGTCTCTTCTAAAAATACAAAAAAAGAAAAAAAAGTTAGCTGGGCATGATGGCACGTGCCTGTAACCCCAGCTACTCCGGAGGCTGAGGCAGGAGAATCGCTTGAACCCAGGAGGCGGATGTTGCGGTGAGCCGAGATCACACCACTGCACTCCAGCCTGGGCAACAAGAGTGAAACTCTGTCTCAAAACCAAAAAAAAAAAAAGAAAGAAAAGACAGTTTGCTACTCCTGTTTCCCAGAGGAAGGGGAGGCCCCAGGGTCAGTGGGGGCCGGGGTGGGAGGTGTGGGGAGAGTATGGGCAGAGCCCCTGCTGTGGCTTGCTTTCTTAGGAAGGATTGGTGAGGCAGGGTTGGTGGCTCAGCAGGCTTAGGATCGGATAGCTTGAATAATTTCCCTGGGCCCTGAGCTGTACGGGTGGTCTGATGTGTGGCCCTGGGGAGATTTAGGGTAGGGGCATAACATCCTGGACTATAGAGCCTGATGAAAAAGGCTGTGGGGGCCTGGGCTCCGGATTGGTTGGTCTGCTTTGATACAAAGCATGCTTGCTGTCTCTAGGAATTAGCTTACCCTGGTCCTTTCCTGGGTCTGCAAGGCCCCAGATGTCAAAGCATCATAAAATACACAACATTTTAAAGACACAATTAATACGGGGGCCAGTTCAGGGTGCTTCCAGCCCTTGGTATCGTGTGTGAATTAGAGGCAAGCACCCCTGTTGGTAGACACAGCAGGGCCAGGGCTGTTGGGCAAGGGATTATGGGCTGGATTTCAGCCCTCCCTGGCCCCTGAGCCAGGCACCTTGGAGATGGTGGAGCCTAAACAGCTTCACCTGGCAGCCCTGGAAAGTGGCCAGGTTTGGCAAATAAAATACAGGATACTCAGTTAAATGTGAATTTCAGATATATAATGACTATTTTCTTTAGTATAAGTATGGCTTGTATGTCCCATGCAGTATTTGGAAGATATTTATATTAAAAGGTTATTATTTTTCTCAAACTCAAATTTAACTGGGCATCTGTCGTAGCCCAGTTGGGCTGCTATAACAAGACACCATAAACTGGATGGCTGAGAAACCACAGAAATGTATGTCTCACTGTTCTGCAGGCCGGGAAGTCCAAGATCAAGGCAGATTTGTTTTCTATTGAGGGACAGACACCTGGTTCACAGATGCCCTCTTCTCACTGTGTCCTCACAATGTGGAAGGGACAAGGGGTCTCCCTCAGGCCTCTGCACTGATCCCATTTATGAGGCTCCACCCCCATGACCTAATCATCTAGTAAAGTCCCCACCTCCTAATACCTGGGGGTTAGGATCTCGACATAGGAATTTTGGAAGCCACAAAGATTCAGACTGTGATTGCATCCTGCGTCTTATCTGCACCCCTAGACCCTGGCCACTACTGTGCCTGAGTCTCCTCATCTGACCATGGTCTATTGTTAGGGTCTTCCCCAGCAGTTACCCTAGGACATAGAGAGAGAGAGAGAGCGCGCGCGCACAAGTCAGATAAAGGGATGGACACACACACAAATGAGTAGGAGAACCACAGCATGAGCGAGAAAAAGTGACACAGAGTGAGAGCGCAAAGAAAGACACAGGGAGACAAAGAGTGAGAGAAACCGAAAGGGACAGGACAGAGGGACAGCTGCAGAGACACAGGGGAGCTGGTTCCCTCCCCATTCAGACCCCACTATCCCCGTCTCTACCTAACCCCTCAGTCCCTCTTCCCAGCCCCTACCATCTCCCTCTCTACCCTCCCCCCTCCCCCCCCCCCCCCCCCCCCCCCCCCCCCCCCCCCCCCCCCCCCCCCCCCCCCCCCCCCCCCCCCCCCCCCCCCCCCCCCCCCCCCCCCCCCCACCCCCCTCCACCCCCTCCCAACCAGCCCCACCATCCTCCTCTCTACCCCCCCCCCCCCCCCCCCCCCCCCCCCCCCCCCCCCCCCCCCCCCCCCCCCCCCCCCCCCCCCCCCCCCCCCCCCACCCCCCCACCCCTCCCAACCAGCCCCCACCATCCTCCTCTCTACCTAACCCCCCAGCCCCTCCCAACCAGCCCCCACCATCCTCCTCTCTACCTAACCCCCCAGCCCCTCCCAACCAGCCCCCACCATCCTCCTCTCTACCTAACCCCCCAGCCCCTCCCAACCAGCCCCCACCATGTTCCTCTCTACCTAACCCCCCCAGCTCCTCCCAACCAGTCCCCCACCATCCTCCTCTCTACCTAACCCTGCAGCCCCTCCCAACCAGCCCCCACCATCCTCCTCTCTACCTAACCCCGCAGCCCTCCCAACCAGCCACCACCATCCTCCTCTCTACCTACCCCCGCAGCCCCTCCCACCCAGCCCCCCCGACCCCTCTCTACCTAACCTCCCAGCCCCTCCCAACCAGCCTCCACCATCCTCCTCTCTACCTAACCCCGCAGACCCTCCCAACCAGCCCCCCACCACCCCCCTCTACTTAACCCCCCAGTCCCTCCCCCCAGCCCCCACCATCCTCCTCCCTACCTAACCCCGCAGACCCTCCCAACCAGCCCCCCACCACCCCCCTCTACTTAACCCCCAGCCCCTCCCCCAGCCCTCACCATCCCCTTCTCTACCTAACCTCCAGCCTCTTCCCCACCAGCCCCCCACCATTCCCCTTCTACCTAATCCCCCAGCCCCTCCCCTGTTACCCCTCTCCCCACCTAGCTCCCTCTCTACTTAACCTCCACCCCTCCTAGTCCCCTCCTCATCCAGGCCCCACTCCTTTTAGCCCCCTCCTTACCTAGCCTCCTCCCCATCAACTTCCTGTCCCCCTAGCCCCCTCCCCGCACACTCCTCTTGAAGCCCACCCACACCCACCCCCTCCCCTCCAGGCCTCACCTTGGAGTAGGTGGCCCCATTGATGACCTCTCCCTTTCGCAACCAGATGATGGAGGCTGCAGGCTTGGCATTGTCTGCGTGGCATGTGAGGTTGAGAGGGTCCCCCGCACGCAGGCTGATCACAGGGCCCCCCAGGATGACGGGGTCATCAGGCGGCACTGCGGGGAGAGAAGCAGAAGGTCAGGCTGAGGCTGCTCCCTCAGGTAGGACGGCAGGCGGGCTGGGAGGATTTTGTGGAGATGATGACAAATAATAATTATCATACGTTGATAAAATGCATCATCTGCTTGTATTGTAACGATGAGAGCAGCACCCGCAGTGATCCCTGACATGTGCACTGCGTGCTTACAGTGGAGGCTATTCCCGCCAGTCATCGCATCCCTGCTCAGGCCCAGCCGAGAGGGGACAGGGCCAGCAGCCTCAGCCTGCACTACCAGGCCTGGTAGCAGAGCTCTGTGGCCCAGGCGATGTCTGTGGCTTCTTTCTTTTTAACTTCTTTTTTCTTTTTATTTTTTTGAGACGAAGGCTCTCTCTGTCACTCAGGCTGGAGTGCAGTGGCATGATCTCAGCTCACTGCAACCTCTGCCTCCCAGGTTCAACCCAGGTTCAAGCGATTCTCCTGACTCAGCCTCCCAAGTAGCTGGGACGACAGGCACGTGGCAGCACGCCTGAGTAATTTTTTTTGTATTTGAAGTAGAGATGGGGTTTCAACATATTGGTCAGGCTGGTCTTAAACTCCTGATCTCAGGTGATCTGCTTGCCTTGCCTCCCAAAGTGCTGGGATTACAGGCCTGAGCCACCATGCCCGGCCAACACCTGGCTACATTTTGTATTTTTAGTAGAGACGGGGTTTCACCATGCTGGCCAGGCTGGTCTCAACGTCCTGACCTCAGGTAATCGGCCCGCCTCAGCCTCCCAAGGTGCTGGGATTACAGGCGTGAGCCGTGGCGCCCGGCTCTTCTTTTTTCTTTAAATGAAGCACTGTCACACCTGCTGTCTGTGTTACTCCTCGCAATAGTCTGGTGAGGTCCACATTATCACCCCAAGGACACAGATCCGGAAGCCGAGTTCCAGCAGGATTAGCGACTGGCTCAAGGTCACATGGTGGCAGAGCCAGGGCTGGAGGCCAGGCCCAGGGAACCTGGGAGCACCAGGCCGGCCCCTTCCCTGGCAGGGGGCAGGGTACAGGGCAGCCCTTCAGGGTGGAGCCAGCGCTTCGGAGGGCTACGCAAGTGCTGGCATCTCCTGAGCTCCTGACTCCTCCGGAGTGGCTCCAGCTCCTTCATCCCCAGAGGCGGCCTGATTCTTTCCTGTCCCGGCCTTCCCACTGCATTTTGTAGCAGGGTCAGAGACGGGTGGCTCCCGTCAAGGGATCCCGAGTGCCAGGAGCAGGGGGCATCCACGTCAGAGCACGGTCTCCGCAGTGCCCAGCACAGAGCCCTGTGCCTGGGGGAAGCTCCACTGACATTTGCTGGCCCCAATGGAGTCACCCCTTTGATTCCCATGAGGACTATGGGCCGAAGGACGGCGGATGGTCATGGCTCGGAGGAGGGCCTGGAGGTGTGAAGTGCCTTGCCTTAGGGCACAGCCTCTTCCCATGCTTGTGCTTGGGGACATGTTGAGGGTCTCAGGCCTCTGCTGCTCCCTGGACAGGCCACAGAAGGGACAGGAGATGAGGCGACTGTTCTCTGAGGAATCCCTGTTTCCCTTCCCCCCGGGAGGAGCTGGACCCACAAGCTCTGGAGGCTGAGAGAGGCCCAGGGCTTCCGGACACATCAAGACGTGAGCCGTCTGTGTACACAGCAAACAAAGAAGGGGTAGTTGGATAACAGGGGTCTGGGGACCTAGCACAAAGGGTCCTCTGTGCCTGGTGGCCAGAGAAAGCCCGCCCTTCTATGCAGGCTCTGTGCTCGGGACTCTGGGCTGGAGAAGTTCAGAGCCGGACAGTCACAGCTCCAGGCCGTCCTGACTCCGCTGGCTCAGCCTTCCAGACTCGGCCTGCATGGGAGCTTCCCTTCCCTTCCCAGGGCATCGCCCCATCAGCACCTCTCCTGGTCCACTCCGGCTTCTCCGAAAGCTCCAGGAGGGACAGGAAGCCCCCATGGGGGCCCAGTAAGAAGCCAAGAAGCAAACCTTCAGACCAGCTGCCTTGCCCTCCCTGCCCAGCCTTGGAGGCCTGCTCCGACACTAACAGCACAGCAGTGCCATTTCCTGAGGAATCAACAACCTCCCCCGGCTTCCAAGAAGCTGATCCCAGGGGCAGCGAGCCCTGGACTCCACCGAGATCCTGGCTCAGGAACAGAGTCTGCCTCATGCAACCCTGCCTGGCCCTGGGCTCTCGAGCCAGGCCTTCTGGAGGCCCGGAGGAAGCAGGCGGGAATGGGGTGGATGGAGAAGACGACCCCCCAGCCGCCCGCCCCGCACCCTTCCATTAGTGCCCACGGACCTCCTTGGGGTGGGCCTGGCCACAGGGCAAAAGGGAGGCGGATTAGGGCTTTCCACCAAGCAGGGGTGGGTGCAACCGCTTGCGGAGGAGGGGAATTGCATCTCCACGCGGTGGGTAGGGGCCTTCCAGTGGGAAGAGCCGGGCTCAGAGGTGACCAGCCTTCAACCTTCTTTCTGCGAAGCAGCCTCCCTGACCAGGATGGAGGAGCTCAGGCTCCATGAGCTAGCTGAGGGCCTGGAAAAAGAGCCACGTGGAGCCCTGGGGACAGCCTGGATACTTGGGGCCTCAGCCTTGCCAGTGACTGTGGAAAGTGCCTGAGAGCCGAGGGTGGAGCAGGAAGCCCCTTCTCTCAGGGTGGCTTCAGGTGCAAACGTGAGAGCAAGGAGGATCTGGGAGCTGACTGCTCTCCAGCACTGACATTCGCTGGGCCTTGAGCAGGGGTTTGAAGTCTTGACTGCATACTCCTCTGCAGAGGTTTTCAAACCTCACTGGCAGGCGGCACCCTGAGCAGCCAAGTCCAGTCTCTGGAGGGGACCCCAGGCATCAGGACTTTGGAGAGCTCCCCAGGGGGTCCCATGGCAGAAACAGCTTTCTGGGCTCTGGCCTGAGGTACAGGAGCCACTGCTTGCTCCGAGCACAGTGCAGCCACCAAGGCCTTCCTGAGAATCCAAGACCCAGAGGACAGGCCCTTCCTGCTTGTGGCTGGAGTGTTGTGTTACTGGAATATTGGATTAGAGGGAGCACGGACGGGGGAGGAGGGAGTGGGGTGTGTTGTGGGAGTGCTCAGGCACACACACAGCCACGCACACACAGCCACCCTCAGAATGGGGCCTGATTACATCTTCCCAAATAAGTGGTTATCACGCTGGGTATTCATGTAGCCATGCATTATTGATTGGTCTTCGCCTCACTGCACACCAGATGGGGGGTGGGGGCTGGGGTGGGGTGGGGGTCGGTGAGGAGGGGGGATGTTTGGGGGCCGGCAGGCTGAAGAGAAATCAGCAGTCGCTCTTGGCAGCTGTGTCTGGCGTGGAAGGGGGCTCCTCATTACCTCCCCATTCAGACTCGGCCAGGCTGGGCCGGGCAGTGGGCAGGGGAGGAAGTTTCGGAGCAGCCCCCGCCCGGAGATGCATTATTCATCACCCCCTTGCAGGATTGGTTATTATCCTCAACCACTATAGAGTTTGGGCTTCTAATTTTTAATCACAAGGAAGGTGGAAGCGTTAGCCTTTTCGTGATTAATCCAGAGATAAAAATAGTTGACTGTTTTGGTGTTGTGCTTGTTGTCAGTCAGGGAAAAAATGGCATTAACTGTTGGGGCACTGAGGCCTGGGGAGGACAGAGTGGGTACCAGGCGGAGTGGGTCCCCAGAGCTGGAAGCCGGCCTGAGAGGCCACAGCGTGGCCTTAGCTAGGGGTGGCTGAGTGACACTCCTGCACCCAGCTGGCTCCTGGGGCATTGATTATGAAAGAAACACATCATCATGGGATGCTGAGCTCTTTACAGTTTACTCTCCCGTTGGCCATTCTGTAGCAGGCAGCTTCGGTCTCCCTCCCTGCTCTGCCCTTCCCTGCCCAGCTCCGAAGACTTTGCCTTGTGTGGGTGGGCAGTAGGGGCACCTGTCCCTTTCCCTGTGTGTGGGAGGGAGCCCCCAAGAGCTTTCCCCAAGTTCTGCTGCCAAAGACAGTGGGGTTTCTGGTGGAGAGGTGGCATGGGGAGAGGGAAACTGAGGCCAGAGAGCGCAAGAGGCTGACCCAAAGTTACCAATGATGAGAGCAAAGAAGGGTGAGGGTGGGCTTGGGATGCACATCCTGGCTCCAACTGGAGAGGTAAAGTTTTCATCTGTTTCACGCACTAAGGTTCTCTCTAACCTCTATACTCCCTGTTTTTTAGAGACAGTTTGTCAGGCTGGCCAGCCTCGTCTGCGCAGGCTGGAAAAACTCTCTTGGTGCCAGGACAAGGACAGCACTGAGGGAATTCCCTCCAGTGTCCACTTGGTCACCCAATGGGACCTGGCTGGGCTTCCAGGAACTCCTCGATGCTCCATCAGCCTGGATGGCCGGCCTCTGAGCATGGCTGATCCACCGACCAGCTGGAGGGCTGGGGGACCAACAGGGCCACCCTCCTGCCCCAATACTGCATGGAGGAGAACCTCACAGATGCCCAGCCCTTTGGAAAGCAAGACTGGTTCTCATTTAACTCAATGAGCAGTGAGTTCCCCACAGAGCTGGCAGAGTGGCCCATCATGAACACAAAACCCTCCAGGGGCTTCCTGCTGAAGGAGAGTAGGCATTGCCTGCAAGCACTGGCACCCACAGCCCTTGCTGCCCCTGGGGCCTCAGTCTGTTCCGGCCACTCCTTACTCAGCAGGCCCTGGCCCCACTGGCTCTCTGCTGCTCAGCAAACCTGGCTCCTTCAGGGCCGGTCTTGCCCTGGTCCTCTCTGTCGAATGCTTTTTTTCTGTTCCTCACTCTGCTGGCTCTTCCTGTCAATGAAGGTGCAGCTTCAAGAGCCCCTCACTGACTCTCCACTACCCACCCCTGCACTGTCTGGATCACTGGGTTCATTTATTATCTGTCACCATTCTAGAAAGGACAGCAAAGACCTTATCTATCTTGGTCATTGTGATATTGATGTATCACATAGCAGGCGCTAAAGAAATATGTGTTGAATATTATTTGTTAAATAAAAGACCCTCAGAAGGGGAGTGGG